TCCCTCATTCCACATCCTCTTCTGAATCCAGCTTGAATTTCTGGCATCTCCCTGTCAACATGCTGCTGCAACCATTTTTGGATTAACTTCAGCAAAATTTTACTTGCATGTGATGTTAATGATATTGTTCAATACTTTCCACATTCTGTTGGACCACCTTTCTTTGGAATGGGCCCAGCCAAATATCAGTCTCTTCCAGTCAGCTGACCAGGTAGTTGTCTTCCAAATTTCTTGGCATAAACAGGTAAGCACCTCCAGCACTGCAACCATTTTTTGAAACATTTCAATGGGTATTTTGTCAATTCCTGAAGCCTTGTTTTTGCCAATTCCTTCAGTGCAGCTTGGACTTCTTCCTTCAGCACCATTGGTTCTTGATCATATGCTACCTCCAGAATTAGTTGAACATCAACCAATTCTTTTAGGTACAGTGACTCTGGATTCCTTCCATCTTCTTTTGATGCTTCCTGCATCATTCAATATTTATCCATAGCAACAACCAAACTCACTGCCGTCAAGTCTGATCCAACTCACAGCGACCCCTCCTTTGGTTTCTGAGGCAGTATCGCTATGGAAGTGGATTGCCCCATCTTCCTTCCGAGTAGTGGCTGGTGGATTTGAACCACCAGCCTTCTGGTTAGCAGTCAAATGCCTTAGGCACTATGCTACCAGAGCTCCCATATTTACCCATAGAATCCTTCAATATTACAACTCAAGGCCTGAATTTTTTCTTCAGTTCTTTCAGCTTGAGAAATGCCAAGTGTGTTCTTCCCTTTTGGTTTTCTAACTTCAGGTCTTCGCACATTTCATTATAATACTTCATATTGTCTTTTTGAGCTGAAATCTTTCCACTGCCACAAAAAGCAGTTTTTATTGCTCTGAGCAGAAGGCTGCCTGGCTTACTCTACTAATGACATGAACAATCTTTCTCTTATTTTTGGAGTTATCGTCAATACTGAGGAAGTAAGTAGTCAATAAACACATAATCATTTTCCCTTCCTTCCTCAGGCCAGGGGGAAGGAACAGGAGATCAACGTCTGTGTCCTTGTAATCATATAGTTAAGTCACTGTATCAGCTCCATCTTCTTCCTAACTGAAACAGAAAGGTTTTGAAAAGGTTATATAATTCAACATAAATCATTTAAACATTTCTCTCTACTTCCCACACTATCTTCTTCATTTGGCACCCTTTTCTCACCATTCCTCTGTTATGTTTGAATTTACAATTGAATATATATTTTTAATTGAATCAACACAGATTTAACGGATTTCTTTCCTGTGTATAGTCCTGTACTGAGTATTCTATTCACCTCCAATTTCTAAGTGAGAAATGCTAGCAACGAACTTCATTCACATGCCTTTGGATGTGGAAGAGCCTTTTTTGCCTATAATGTCCCAACTGCTGTCTTTACCAATGCTCTACTTAATGAAGAACTTGGGATCATTTAGACCAGAAATTAATGGTTTTGAAACCTGAAATATTCTATTTGGTTGTTTTGTTTTGTTTCCTCTCTTTCGATTGAATCTGTCAACCAAGTAATTCCACCTTAGTGCTGTGTTGACACCTTCCAAAGAAAATGTCATCATTGGCTTCATTAAGTGAGAAAAAGGGTAATATAGTGCATTTTCCCTTAAAACAGACCAGAAATTTAAAACAATCACTTTATAAAGATACAATTTCTTTTAGCAATCATGAAAACTCCAGTCTTACTGAAGAAAACTGTAATATGTATGTGTTACCGATAGTCCATTGTTCTTTGAGAAGCTATAAATATTTCTTAAATGAGCAGCACATTAAAAGGAGAACAAATGAGCTGTGTTTTCTATACAAACAGAACTAAAGGTAGAAAGTCATAGCTAGATGGCTATGGAAATCTATTCTGAATTAGTCAGTCTTTCATTTTAAAAAAGTATATGATCTGTGTATTAGGCTTTACACTCAGCACTAAGAATCTAAGGAGTTTATAATGTAGTAATTTTGCTAGAATCTCATTAGTAATTTAATACTTCAATATTATTAGATGCTTTAAATTCAAAGTCCTAGAGCTTTAAGGGGGAGGCATAGTACCTACGGCATTTGGCTGTTAACCAGAAGGCTGGCGGTTCAAACCCCCCAGCCACTCCTAGGAAGGAAATTGGGCAATCTACTTCTGTAGAGATACCACCTCGGAAACCCAAGGATGGGTCACTATGAGTTGAATCAACTTGACAGCAGTGAGGTTTTTTTTAGAGAGCTTTAATGGGAGTAATGTAATTAAATTCCAATGTATTCAACAAGATGAGACTTTCAACCAGATGAACTGACACTGTGGCTACAACAAAAGACTCACACAATGGATGCAACAATGAGCTCAAATATAGTAATAATTGTGAAGATGTTGCAGGACAAGGCAGTGTTTCCTTCTGTTGGGCATAGGGTCCATGTGAGTCGAACCGCCTGAACAGCACCTAACAAACAACACAAAATATGTTCATTTAGTCACTTAACCACTGACATAGAAATAAGCTGAAATCTCTCTCATTAAAAATAGCAACAGCAACACTGTCCCTTGACTCCATTTCTCCCTCCAGTTAGTGCTGCCTCTCTTTTTCTTCACAACTAAACTTCTCCAGAGCTGTTGTGCTTACTGTCTCTTTCCTCTCCATCCACTCACACCTTAACACACACTCATCTGACTTTCACTCCCATCTATCACAACAGCTCTAATGCTCCATGAACCCTTTGCAGTCCTCATTTTCCCCAATTTCTCACTTCTTGAAACACTTTCTTCTCTTGCTTCCACACTCCCTTAGTTTTCCTCTAGTTGTGGTGCAGTGAATTACTTGGTATGGCCTTTCTAGCCATAGTTTTTGTAACTTCCAACGGATTACTGTATAGGACCACGCAAATAAAGTGTGTAGAACTCTGATGTTGGGATTGGTTAGTTCTGTCACTCTTTCAGGCTTAAAATGAGCCTTCCCCTTCTCATTTTTCTAATATCTACTGAGGTAATCTCATCCAGTTAGATGCCAACAACTCCCAAGCATACATTTCCTTCCCAGACCTCTCCTCTGCACTCCAGTGCTGTGTATCCTGTTGTGTAGTACTCTGCATTCTCTCTTGGAGATCTCAAACACTCTTCAAATTCAACATGTCTTGAATGGAACTCTTGGTCTTCACCCCTCCACACCTATGTTTAATGTCTCAACAAATGGCAGTGCAATGCACTCAGCTGCATAATCCACAGACCTGATTAATCTTGAAAACTCCCTTCCCCTTAGCTCTGCTGCCCTTAGTTTCTGGTGCATTATTGATTCCTTATGAATATCTTTCAGATCCATGCACATCTCTACATCTCTGCTACTGCCCTAATCCAAGTTAACATCTTTTCCTTCCTGGACTACTGCATTAATTACCTGACTGATTTCACTTCATCCTTCTTTTCTTAGCTTTGTCTATCTTCCCCATGAGGAGCTATAGTGGTGCAGTGGTTAAGGCATTTAGCTGCTAACCAAATGGTCAGTGGTTGGAACCCCACCAGCCCCTCTGCAGAAGAAAGATGAGGCAGTCTGCTTCTGTAAGAGTTACAGTCTTGGAAACCCTGTGGGGCATTTCTACTCTGTCCTATGGGGTTGCTATGAGTTAGAATCAAGTCAATGGCAGTGAGTGGTCCTCCCCATAGATAAAAGCAATGAAACAGCCAGAGCAAGCTTTGAAAATTAAACTCTGACCAAGCAACTGGATACTTAAAACACTTGAATAACTTCCCATTGCCTGCAGCATAAAATCTGTAATCCTGACTACCTCTCCAGCCACATCTCGAACGAGGGCTCCCCTGTTGCTTCTGCTATCCCTGGAACATTGGCTTTCAGTTGCTTTAATGTGTCATGTTCCTTCTCAGCCACAGGCTCTAGTACAAGCTGTTCGCCTTGTTTTAAACTCTTCTCCCTTTGTCCTTCCTGGGTTGCCCTACATAACTCCTTCTCATCCACCAGATATAAGGTAACCTCTTCACAGATGCCATCCTTGATCCCTAAGACTTAATCAAAGTCCCTGCTCTATACTCTCACAGCACCTGGTTTCTCTTCAAAACGATTATCATCGTTTGTATTTATACATTTTGTTGTATAATGTTTTGATTAATATCTGTCTTGTCCACCAATCTGTTAGCTCATTGACGGCAGGTAGTGCATTTATTATTTTTACCATTTTATCCTCAAAACCTAGTGCAGTACCTGGCACACAGTAGGTATTCAAAATGAAAAAGGGAATGAACAAATTAAGGTTATATTCACTTGCCCAAGGTCAAGATTGTAAGGCTGAGACCATAGCCAGATGTTCTAATTTCCAGTGCAGATTTCCGGTCTCCTTAACAAAAGACTTGTCCTGGGTTTCGCTCTAAATTACTAGCAAGAAGGCAACTTCACAACTCATCAAGTCCAATTTCTCGAACCTATCATTTTTTACACATGGCATTTATTCAGCAAGAGGTTGCTGGATGTATAGTAATTTTCCCTTTTTTTCATGAAACACATGCTATCTCTTGTTTTGTTTTGAGGAGTATTACGATAAACCATGCCAGTATTTAAAATTGTAAGCTTCATGAGATTCTCAGAAGGAATACAAGTATAGATCAAAGAGTAATTTTGTCTCTTGCAATAGTTTCTTGTTGAAAAATGCTGGTAATTTAACAAGCTAAAAGAGTATTCTGTTTGGTGGGAAAAATCATCATTTTCCCAGATGCTGTGTATATACCTTCTATTAAAAGTGAAAAAGGAGAAAGCCACTTTGTTGTGTGGAAGTGCCTTATCCCTTTTATAAAATCCACATAAAATGTTCTGTGATTTGAGGAGAGGCTACATTTATAAGATGAAATTAGTCCAGGGTTACCCTTGAAGCATCTTGAAGATTTTATTCTCAAGGGTCTTTCATTTTGTGGATGAAAATGGAATCATTATTTTTGAACTCCCTCTGCTCACGTCAATGACTCCCACCACACCTGGTCCAGTGGTTATAAGTACCCATGAATTGCCTTGCAGATTTCAGGCAGGGTAACCGACAAGGCCAGCCAAAGCCAAACTCCCTGGTAAGATTTATTGGGCATTTCTCTATGTTTCATTTCACACCTGGAGGTAGATGACACTCTCTGCTCACAGTGCTGTGGTGTATGTCTGTCTCAGATGTGTGTGTAAGATGCATTGCTCCGTTTTGGGTATCTGAAGTGATTTCTCCCTTCTTTCCTTGCTTCCTTCCCTCCTTCCTCTCCCCCAGCCCCACTTCCTTACCTTCCTCTCTTCACCTCTCCCTTCTTCCTTTCTTTCCTTACTCCTCATATTCCTCCCTCCCTCCTTTCCTGACTCCCTTCCTTCTCTTCTCTCTTTCAGGAGATTGCTACCTTAATACCGACAAGTAATTTGAATTTAAAAAATTCTACTTTCTTTAGAGGCAATAAAGTGTTCATTTCTTCAAAGATGTAAAAGGCATACTCACATTTTCTAGATTGAACTTACAATTGCATTGCTTATTACTGTATAATGTCCTCATCACCATAGACTACTTTAATCAACTAAATTTTGGGACCTCGTTTGCAATTTAATCTGGGAAAAAGATGGCTGTGAAATTTATGTGAACCAATATCCTCCTTCTCCTTCCCTGTCTCTTTAAAAATGTTTCCTCTTCCTCTTTCTTACTTTTGCCTTTCTTTCTCTACCCTCTCTGACTGTCTCTGCTGGTGACCATCAACATTTCCCCAATCTTTCCTTTCACATAGCTTCATTCCACCATGTTCAAAGCACTCCTCCTGCTGCTGTGTGTTACCTTGGTGCTATCTGGGCATGCACATGGAGCCACACTAAGAAATGAAGAGAAATGGAAGCCACTCAACAACCCCAGAAACCGAGATCTAGTAAGAACATAGCATGGGGTGTGCTGGGCTGCAGGGTGACACGGGCGCCTCTCTAGGTCTATGCACACTGCACTCTATGTGCTAGAGCACCGTGGAGAAGAGGCTCCCAGGAGATGAGAAGATTCCTCTAAAGGACCCAATCTGGGTTTCTTAGCTTAGGAGTTGGCATCTAATGGTTTCTCTCACTAATTTCCATTTGTTTCTGTAAAATACATTTATATTTAGAAATGATTTTATACCCACACAGCATATTACATTTATAAGTGATTTTATATATGCAATGACTTTATAGCTTTAATTTCTAATACATATAAATAATGAAGACATAATGGCCAATTACTTTTTGAACAAATTAGATTGAATTCATAATGTTTTAGATTCAGAATCTGTTTGAGAGTCTCATATAACCAACACTTGCAAAGCCCGATTGTGAAAGTGGAAAGCTATAACTGCAGCATTCTTATCAAATTAATAGGCATTATTTGCAACATAAAGTGATCTAGGTAATAGAATTCAAAAGATCACTGATAACGCTCTTTAAAAAAAATGCCAAATACAAGAAATATATTGACATTTTAAATGTTTTTAAAATACAGGGCTTTTTTTTTTAAGGAAATGGCATGCAATATAACAATGTAAGATTAAAACAGTGAAACAAATAACCCTGGGCATAGATACTATGTGTTTACTTCCTAAAAGAAAGCTGAAAAACCCATGTCTGTAAAGAAACTTGCAGAAGGCAGTGATTGGTTTCTCCCAGTCAGAGGAGAGACGCCAGAGCCCTGGTTACTGTGGAGTTCAGTTACATCTCTACCTTCAGTACTCAGAGGTGGTTTACAGTGAACCATCTGACTGTAATGCTATTAAGTAATTGATACCCCTCCCTCGGTTCCCACCAAGAATGGTGAGTTATCTTGTTTACGGTTAAAATGTCAGAAAGATGGCAGAGTGAAGGATGGGGGAGAGAAAAAGTGGGAGAAGTAGTTTGTACTTTTGTTTCTGGGTTTTCAATTTCCTGCCTCTTAGATCAGCCCTAGGAGCTCGGGTGGCGTAGTTGCCTAAGGCATTTGACTGCTAACCAGAAGCCTGGTGGTTCTACTTCTGTAGTGATACCGCCTCGGAAACCCAAGGAGGGGTCACTGTGAGTCGGATCCAACTCAATGGCAATGAGTTGGGTTAAGTTTAGATTAATCCTAGTGTCACTTCAAAGGGGGAAACAAAATTCAACTTTGAGTATTTTGGTGTATAATTTACAAATGGCATTGAATGTTTTCTCTCTCTCTTCAGTTTTTCAGAACCCTTCAGGCATATTTTAAAGGACGAGGTCTTGATCTTGGGAGGTTTCCAAATACCTTCTTCATGAAGGAGAATCCCAGACCTCTCTCTTTCCAATCAGAATATATTGCTTCTGCATTTGGAGATTATGAAGAGCAGAAAAACTCATTTCCAAGTTTCCTGAAAGGCTGAAAGTTCCTTCTGAGCTCAGGTGAAAGTTGTCTCTTTATTCCCAGGCTCTGTACAAACATACAACTCAGTCATAAAGGAGAGATTTTGAAAGCATTTATTTGAAAAATGATTTTATTTCCTGATACCTAACAGAAAGAAATGCTTACTTCTGATTATACACATCAATGTTAATATTTGGATTTGGTTCAGATATGTTGTTGTTGTTGTTATGTGCCATTGAGTCAGCCCCGACTCATAGCAACCCCTCCTTGGGTTTCCGAGGCAGTATCACTACAGAAGTAGGATTGCCCAACCTTCCTTCCGAGGAGTGGCTGGTGGGTTTGAACTGCCAGCCTTCTGGTTAGCAGTCAAGTGCCTTAGGCACTATGCTACCTCAGATATTTTATGGTTACCTATATCTTTTTTCAGCCCAGGTCATCTAAGTTATGTGGAAATCATATGTTGTTATTATGTGCCCTTGAGTTGGACCCGACTCATAGTGAACCCCTCCTTGGGTTTCCAAGGCGGTATCATTATGGAAGTAGATTGCCCAACCTTCCTTCAGATAGAAATCATATAGAAAGGAAATATGTCAAACTGAGCAGGTGAATTAAATGGAAAGTGAAAATGAAAAGAATGGTGTCTTTTGAAGAAAGTATTAAGCGCATATTTGAGCTTGAACTTCCTCAACTAGAGAAAGGGGTAGAATATTCGTAAAGATGCTATTTTTCTTACAAGAAAAAATTAAAATTATATTTAGGATTTGAAATTTAGTAGTCTTATTACTAAAGCATTCCTATCAAGCAATATCAATCACTTGCAAAGAAACAGGTATTTATGCATTGTAAGAAAATACATTATGATTCTAATCCATTAGCTTTTTGTTCAGCTGAATAATAAAGGGAACTGATTCACAATTAAAATCTATTCACGTTCCTCTAGAAGCCTGCAGATTAAATTGTGAGGGAGCATACAGTTGTTGCATTTCATGGTGTTTGTAAAAGGATTTTGATTCTTTTAAATGTGATCATTTTAAAAAAATTATGATTTGTAGTCTAAAAAGAATATGCAATTTACCATGTGGCATATGCACTTGAAGACTGACCTAAAATGAGAAAATCACTTAGAATAAACAAAAACATGTTAATGAAGGGTTACCTTTACTATTGTTCACACGTAGGCCCAATAGCATCAGACACAAAAACATAGGAGAATAGTTATTAATACCATAGTGCCTAGTTTAGGGAGGACAGCAGTGATTGATTGGCAGAATTTTCCCCTTCCATGTGGCAGACTCAAATTGGATTTCTGGCCAATGAACCTCAAAGGTAGCCATCCCCAGTCTGTTAGCGGAAGCATGTGTGTTATCATGAACAGGATTCAGTGAAACCCCCAGGCCAAGACAGACTGGAAAAAAAGGCCTGGCAATCTACTTGCAAAAATCAGTAGTGAAAACCCTGTGAAACACATGGTCTGAGCCCACTGCCTGGGGTCCCCATGCGTCAGGGTGGGAGGGTCAACTTAACAGCAGCTAACAACAGCCACCACCACCTCCTTTAGAATGTGCCATACAAAGTGCCTGTGAGCCACAGTTTCTTCATCTGCAAACTGCAAATACCTCTAGAATCCCGTGGAAACATCAGAAGTATCATAGAAAACGTCAAATAAATGCTTTGATGTGTACACGAAATGAGGTAATGTTTAATGGCAGAGTGCCCAGGAAGCACCTAGTGGCAGTATTGGAAATATAATGGGAATTATTCAACCGGGTGAAATCAAAGCTCCTTGATTTTATAATTACAAGCCCTTTTCTTAACATCTCTGATTAGGAAATGAAAACAAAGAGTTTTCATTTGAAATAGGTAGATCTTTGGGTCTTTGTGTTGAATGTACAGTCTTCATTTTCTATTTCATTATAACATTTTCTTACTCTTTTAGGTTCTGGCTATTTTTAAACTACAGATGAAGCTTCTCATTAGAAAATGTCAACCACAGTCAGAGCTAAACTCGTGTGTTTTTTTCCTCCATTTTTATTTGTCACTGTGTAATGATTTTATTCTACATTTCCAGATTTACATATAAATAGCTGGACATTGGAGGCATATGTGCCTTACATGTATATTTTTGGAGTGTTTCTTCTCTTTGTAACCATAAAAATTGATGTAGAGCACAATGTGTATTTGTAAAAGTCACAAAACCCCCATAAAATCAATAGATATGATGATCTTTAAATTATATGTCATTAAAGCTTGTCTTTTAAATGTGTTTTTTATGTTTATTATTCTTCATCAACCAGTATTTTTATTTGGAAAAGACTTTACTATATTTTAAGTGGGGAGCTCTGGTGGTGTAGTGCCTAAGGTATTTGACTGCTAACCAGAATACTAGCAGTTCAAACCCACCAGCCACTCCTCAGAAGAAAGATTGGGTAATCTACTTCCCTAGTGATACTGCCTTGGAAGCTCAAGGAGGGGTCACTATGAGTGGGATCTAACTCCACAGCAGTGAGTTTGGGTTTTTTTTTTTTTTCAAGGAGACCTGGTATCCCAGTGGTTAAGTGTTTGCCTGCTAACCAAAAGGTTGGCGGTTCAAACCCACCAGCCATTCCATGGGAGAAGGATTTGCCAATCTGCCTCTGTAAAGATTACAGCCATGGAAACCGTATGGGGCAGTTCTCCTCCATCCTATATGGTTGTTATGAATCAGAATCAATTCAAAAGCAATAGGTTTGGTGGGGTGTTTTGGGCACATTCCAAAATCATTTTCCACAGCTTTACTGTGTATAGCTTTACTGAATATCAAGAATAAAATATCTGTGCAAGAACAGATTTTGTGTCTGGGTTAGCATGTTCTTTTGTAATTAGTTGTATACGTTTCTGTTTTTTTTTTTTGAGGGTTGTGAGGTTTTTGTGAGCAGAGAGCATATCAAATTCATCTTTATTTCTCCAGCATCTGCCACAGTACCTAACGTGTAGCAAGTGTTCAGTAAGTATCTATTGAAGTAAAAAATTCTGACATTCTTACACAGTAATGGAAGGTGCTTCTAGGTAATGTCATACATCCCACTGGAAAATTCCCCACAATTTGTAGATAGCTGTTGATGGCAGTTCTATACCCTATACCAACTAGTTCCTTAATGGTGGTGTATTGACAACTGGGGACAAACAAGTCTTTATTATATATGACCAGTTAGCACACTTGGTCCCCAGAACTGTATGTTAGTTGATCTTCCATCTCACTCTATCATTTTGACAACAAAAAGCCCTCTACACACATTTCTAAAAGCCCACTGGGGAAATGATTTTGCTCTTGAGTTAGAATTGCTGCTAGGAAAATAACAGAAATGTACTGTTTCTTCTGATGGAAATAAATCCCTGCAGGCGTTCTAGGCTGTCAAGGGATTCATTACACTTCTTTACATGGGTCTGTGGCAGCTTCTCAACACTGACCCTACTCCTTTTCAAAGGGCACCCCCTTCCCCAGGACATGTCCTATCTCAAATTTAGATAGTCAAGAACTGTTATGGGTATGACGTTTTGCCCTACTTGCAAGTTAACATGCTGGCTGATAATTGAGACTTTATTATTCATGGAGCATCAGGCATGAGTTTCACATTTGCACAGGTTCCTTTATCTCTCAAGTACCACAGGGACTATGTGAAGGATAGTCTAGATGTACACATAGTAGGTCTGTGTCACAATTGAGGATCCCAAACTTAGGAAGCCCACCCCCATTTTAGGGATCTGCTAGTAAACCTGTCCAATCTTTGGCCCAGAGGGAGGTATTATCCTTATTACGTTTGGCCTGAAGGAGACAATATCTCTTTCAAGGCTATTTTCTCAGCAAACATCCTTGAAAGGCAGCCCAGAATGAAATCCATCACAAGCTCTTGCAGAAAAGCAAGAGACGCAAGGAGGTTACGCTCCATCCTTGTTTCTCCCAGACAAGGGGGCACGGATGGAGTCCTGCCCTTCCTCCATCATCTCTCATTCTATTGCCATGGCATACGTTTCTATGTTCTCCTTCCTTTAAATCTTCTACTTTTATTCTCAAAAAATCACTCTGCAAGTCCCAAAACAGAACATTGGTTTGGTTTGCTGTTTTCATTACTGCTGTAACAATTCAGCTTCACCTCAAGGCACTGTGGATGCCTCTGACTCACCAGGGGACAAATCACTCACAGGGAAGTAGAGAAAAGAAAAACAGAAAGATTAAAATCTCAAACTCTCTTGTTACATTCTGACCTCTAAAATAATACTCTTGTCATCAAGCTGTTCCACAGCAGGACACCCACTCTCCCACCCTTGCCCTTTGCCCATCATTCTCTATGAAGTGAACTGAAATCTCCAGAATTGTCATTCCCACATTCTGAGCAGCCAATAATTAAACAAGTGAGTCTAGGCAGGTTTGCTACCAGCTCCCTTAAAAGGGATCTTAGGAGAGCCTTCTCCTTACCAGGTAACCGTCTCTCCTCATTCTCATTTCTCCTTTTAGAGAAGTTAGGGCTGTAGACTTGACTTCTTAGATGTAAGTCCCTGTTTGCCTTGGGAAATACAAGGGAGAATTTCCCTGTAAGTGATTTGTGTAGATTACCTCACCGTACCCCACCCCTTCACCTCCAATATTTTGTATCCACAGAGAACCCTTATGGTCCTTTATCAGAAGAAAGAGAATGATTTCAAGCTGTGAACTATTTTTCCTTCTCCTGGTAAACCCCCCATCCTTCCTTTGCTCTTATGCCAAATAGAAAAGTTTATTCGATAGTTTATTTAGTCGCAGTAGATTTAAATGCAACTAACAACAGTGGGTTGAATGGTATGGAGTAGCATTTTTCCCTCTTTCAAGTCCTGGTGCCTCATTCTGCCATCTTACCATTGTTTACCCCACCTAGATGGGCAAGTAAAAGGTCCCCTGTAATTTCTCTCTAACTTCAGCTGCATATTGAGCTATGCTGGCTCCTCATACCTCAACTTCCTTGCCCATTCCAAAAGCACTGTCAATTCCACCCAATTCACTTGTAAAATCTGAGCACAAATTACCAGGCTACAGAGTAGGCTTCACAAAGACGTGCCAGGTAGTGCTGTCCTCGAGATGTTTACAGTCTAGTGTAGATAGAATAGGAAGAGCCAAGATAAAATTCTAATACAAGGTAATACAATCACAGGAATGCGTGTGAGGTGAAAAAATAGTACCATTGAGGGGAGGCAGTTTATCATAATAATTCCAAGAAGGGGATTTAAAGTCAGATAGACCAGGGTTCAAATGCTGGCTCCATTATTTATTAGATATGGGATCTTGGCATTAGGAGTAACAACATCGACTTCTAAGGATTATTTTGAAATAAGCATATAAGGCACATAAGGCAGTAAATGGCTTATAGCAAATGGGCAAGAAGAGGTGGCAACTGTATCAAGTATGGTTATAAAGCTTGACTGTTAGCAAAGGAACAACTGAGTGGAAGTTAGAGGATGGAATATGAAGTCTAAATTATTTACAAACTGAGAGACTGTTTTGGTTCTGTAGTGATGAAGAAGAGTTGATGCTTTTGAGTTGTGGTGCTGGCGGAGAATGCTGAAAGTACCGTGGACTGTTAAAAGAACTAACAGATCTGTCCTGGAGGAAGTGCAGCCAGAATGCTCCTTGGAAGCAAGAATGGCCAGACTTCGTCTCACCTATTTTGGTCATGTTGTCAGAAGGGACCATTCCCTGGAGAAGGATGTCATGCTTGGTAGGGTGGAGGGTCGTTGAAAGAGGGGGAGGCCTTCAACGAGATGGAGTGTTACGGTGGCTGCGATGACGGGCTCAAGTACAGCAGGGATTGTGGGGCTGGCGCGGGATCGGGCAGTGTTTCGTTCTGCTGTGCATGGGGTCGCTATGAGTCGGAAACCACTCGATGGCACTTAACAACAACAACAACAACAGTGATGCTCTAACAAGAAATATCACAAGTGGGTGGCTTGAACAAATAAGGATTTATTCTCTTACAGTTTAAGATGCTAGAAGTCCGAGTTCAAAGTGCCAGATCTAGGGGCTGTGTGAAGGCACCTCGACCTTGGGCTTCAGCTCTGCCTCTTGCTCCCAGCCCGGTGGAGCTGGAGGTGTGTCTCAAGTCAGGCAGCTACTGGCTGCTGAGGCTGACAAACTCAAGGTCAACAAGTGAAATGGCACAGTCCCAAGATTACCCAAGTAACATGGCAGGCCACTAGTTCAAGTCCAGAAACAGTCCCAAGATTGGCAGACAATGTGGCAGGCCACTAAGATGAAGACTTGACCAAATGCAGAAGCCAGATGTGTCAAAAAAAAAACCTCAAGATTTTTCTCAAAGCTTCTTATATACTGGAAGCAGAACACATCCTAAGACAGCTACCCAGCTACTCATAGTAGATTCCACCTTGAAGTTCATTAGTAGTCTCCTCAAGGGGACTAACTGCATCCAGGTGCCCAGTCACTCAAAACCAAGCCCAGCCAAGTTGATGCATAACCTTAACTACCACAGAGCCCTAGGAAAGTGAGAATTTGGGAATTTATGGAAGAAGGGAAAATTTTGGTGCTATTGATTGAAGAGGACTGGATTTAGAGAATAAATTAAGGGAAGGCTTTATTTTTCTGAGGCAGGGGAGAGCTGAAATGTAGCACATGAATATGGCAGAGCAAATGGTTAGATTAAGAAATAAATCACAACGAAGACCAAAGTAAGATAAAGAACATTCAGAAGGGAAACAGATTGTGAGAATGAAACAATCATTTTAATGGCTGTTGAAGGAAATTATCCAGATTAAGGAAAAGCCCTTTAAAACACATTTTCCTCAACTGCCTAAGGCATTTGACTGCTAACCAGAAGGCAAGCGGTTCACACCCATACGCCACTCCTCCGAAGGAAGTTTGGGCAATCCACATCCGTAGAGACACCACCTCGGAAACCCAAAGAGGGATCACTATGAGTCGGGATCTACTGAAGGGCAGTAAATTTGGATTTTTTTTTTTAAGTCTAATAATCTTAAACTGGAGGAGGGGCGAGTCCGCCGGGTTTGTGTACTGAGACTCCTACCCGCCCCGCTCTCCCCCAGCCGGAAAAGAGGCACGGACCGCGCTCCCACGGAACCTGAGCGCGGTGCCTGCGGCGCAGGCCGGGCGGGTTTCTTGTGTGGACGCCGGATCCCAGCGCAGGGTAGAGTCTGGCGGTTGTTGCTCTTCCGGCCCCTTGTCCTGTTTTCTGGGCCTGCATACTCGGACCCGTAGACATGTCGGGGTTCAGCCCGGAGCTCATCGACTACCTGGAAGGGAAAATTTCTTTTGAGGAGTTCGAAGGGCGGAGAGAAGAGAGAAAAACCCGCGAGAAGAAAGTGAGGCGGTGCTTGGCCTGAATGCTTTTCCCTCTTTCTCTCCGTAAACACAGAGATTTGCGGTCTCGGACGCCCCCGTTAGCTGCCATAGGGCAGGCCGGGAACTCCCAGCGCCTTCTTCCTCTTCTTCCACTCGGTCCTCACCCCCATTTCTCATCTCTGTTTTAAATTCCTCTTAAACATCCCTACCCTGCGACCCCCGAATTGCCTTTGTCTCGGTAAAATGTGCTCTTTTGGCCAAATAGCAAAGTTTGTTTGATGGCAGTTTAGCGTTAGGTTAAAAGGCAGTTAACAACAACAACAGGTTAAATGAGGGTGGGGGATTTCGAGTGGAATTTGGAGGCAGAGTATCTGGTTCTAGTCCTAGCTTTGCAACTAAGTCATTTAGTGACGTTGGGTGGGCGAGTCACCTCACTTATTTAGGCCTCCGTTTCCTGTTTCTAAACTGAGGAGGGCTGAGCGGTCATATTCAGGAGTTTCCCAGTGGTATGATGTAACCGACCAAAAAAAAAATAAAAATAAAAAACACCTTGTCTCATAGCAGGAATGTCTTCATACCTATTTCTTCATAAGTATTCAGAATACTTAAGAAAAAGTGTTTGAACTTTACCTATCTTTTCAATTATTTTAAGTCAGAAAATAAAAGTAATCACACCTTTTAAAATCAGCTGGCAGATTGCCTTCCTTATCCATGCAACTGGTAGTGCCCATCTCTTCTTAATTTTAGGGTCTAGAATACAATATGTAGATTAATGAAATCATCAAGGTAATAGATACGTATTTTTAAGAATTTTTACAAGTGACTGAAACTGAAAGAACGTATTTTGAAATGCATTAACTCTGAAATTTTAGACTCCTTGTTATGTGTGCAAAGATTTTATATATACATACATATATGTATATAGAAGTATGAGTAAAATTAGATAAATGTCATATTCTGCAATGGGGAGGGCAAAATCAGCATTCGTTTTTGTAATCGTTAATTTTCTATCACAGAGTCTTCAGGAAAAAAGAAAGTTACCAGCTGAAGAAAATCCAAATGATGGTGAAGTTCCATCATCATCGGGAATTGACTCTTCCAAATCCCACAATAAAGATGCCAATGAAGGTGTGTTAAGAACATTTGCTACTTGCATTAAATGTTTTGTCTACCTAAGCAAAATAATTTAACATAAATAAATTTTGTAGCAATGATACTCTTTTGTTGAGTACCTCATTTATAAGGAGCATAGTTCTTGATATATATATTTAATAGATATTTAGTAAATATTTCAGTTGTTGAATGTAGTGATAGTTATTTTTGTGAGTCCCAATGTTGGAAAAGTTGTTTTGAATTGATAACAGCATAAAACTGTGCCACCAGAGCTCCTTAGACTAACTTAAAAAAAAAAAAACCTCACTGCCATCAAGTCAACATCTGACTCATAGTGACCCCCTTTGGGTTTCTGAAGTGATAAATCTATGGAGGTAGATTGGCCAGTCTTCCTTCCATGGAGTGGCTGCTGGGTTTGAACCACCAACCTTCTGGTTAGCAATTACATGCCTTAGGCACTACACCACCAGAGCTACTTAAACATACAAACAAAAAAAACCCAAACTCACTGTTGTCGAGATGGCTCTGACTCATAGTGACCCCTCCTTGGGTTTCTGAGGTGGTATCATTACAGAAGTAGATTGCCCAACCTTCCTTCTGTGGAGCAGCTGGTGGGCTTGAATCACCAGCCTTCTGGTTAGCAGTTAAGTGCCTTAGGCACTACACTACCAGAACTACTGACAGAACCTGATAAATGAGCCAGTATGCTAATTTATTAACTTCCAGTAGTTGATGTATCTTTCTAGTGATCACAGTGCTGGTAATAGTTTATGGTATCCATTCATCTATGTTATGTCACCTGGGATGCTTTATGAACTGGGTCTAACTGAGATCTAAATTAAACTTGCTAGTTCTAGAGTATAGAAGTAGAAGTGGTTCTTTTTCCTCTCAACAAGTGGGCCTTTGTATAGAGAATACACATTCACAATGGTAGGCAGAAAACAAACAAGTTTTATTTAAGCATAAAAATATATGGTAAATATATACTGTAAATAGATTAAAAATAAACAAGCTGGACCATGTGATGAAGAAGGGGCATGATCCCTAGCTGAAAAAGAGAACATACAGGTTAGTAAATTCAAATCTTGCCAGTTAGTTGTGGTGAAGAACTGGAGGTGATGTTCTAACAAACAAGGGGTCCTTCCTTCTTTACCCAGGGGTGGAGCAGCTCTTTCAGCATCAGGTTTTTAATGATGCGATGGTAGGAGAAGACCCCAGTGCTGTTAACTGAAGCAGTCCCTGGGAGGTGGCCATCAGGCTTTCAACTGGCTCATCACAAGTGGCCAGGCACACAAGGGTGACTTAACTTCAGTGCAAGTAACTCCATTGATTATTTTAAGTTCTGACATCTCCAATTTTCCAGAAAGAAATTGTCCCAGATCTCTACTTATACCCTTGGTAAGCAGAAGACACAATCAGTTTTGAACAAGCTTTGGCAAAGTTGGTTAATTGCAATATATGGCTACTAAGTCATTGTCTTTCATCTCGTAAATATTGCTGTAAAGACCAAAGCCAAACCCATTGCCGTCAAGTCATTTCTGGCTCATGGCAGCCCGATATGTTGCAGAGTAGAATTGAGCTCCAGAGGGTTCTCTTGGTTATAATTTTTATGGGAGCAGATTGCCAGACCTTTGTTCCATGGAACCACTGAGTGCCGTCGCATCGTGTCTTTATTGGTAACCTGTTGCCCTCGAGCTGATTCAGACTGCTGACCCTATAGGACGGAGTAGAACTGTCCCATAGAGTTTCCAAGGTTGTAATCTTTAGAGAACCAGATTGCCACATCTTTCTATTGTAGAGCAGGCTAATGGGTTTGAACTGCTGACCTTTTCGTCTGTAGCTGAAGGTTTAACCACTGCACCACCAGGGATTATTATTTTTTTTTTTTTAAAGATAGTAGTTAAACCATTTGTGCCACTCAGGGTACTTCAATGCTGAATAACACTGTTAAAGTCTTGCTTTTGAGCCCCTTTCCCAGAGACCATGCAGATAGGGGCCTTTTCATTTCATTTTCTATGCATTCTTGCAGGAGCTCTGGTAGCATAGTACCTAAGACATTTGACTGCTAACCAGAAGGCTGGCAGTTCAAACCCACCAGCCACTCCTCAGAAGGAAGGTGGGCAATCCTACTTCCGTAGTGATACTGCCTTGGCAACCCAAGGAGGGATCGCTATGAGTCGGGGCCGACTCCATGGCACATAACAACAATAACAACAAATGCATTCTTGCTAGGGAGCTCTGGTAGCATAGTGCCTAAGGCACTTGACTGCTAACCAGAAGGCTGGCGGTTCAAACCCACTAGCCACTCCTCGGAAGGAAGGTTGGGCAATCCTACTTCTGTAGTGATACTATCTTGGAAACCCCAGGAGAGATCGCTATGAGTCGGGGCAAACTCGACGGCACATAACAACAACAACAGATGCATTCTTGCTGATATATAAAAAATATAACTGAGTTTTGCTTATTGACCTCATGTTCAGCAGTTATTAATCCTAATGATATGTATTAGATTCTTCTGAATTTCTTATGTACATAATCATGTCATATGAATGGGAACAGTTTTATTTCTTCCTTGCTATCTTTATGCCTTTTATTTCTTTTACCATATTGCATTGGCTGGGATCCATAGTAGAATGTTGAGTGGATGTGGTGGTAATAGTAGGCATCCTTGTCTCAATCCCAGTAGTTTTCAGTAGTTTGCTGTTAAGTGTGTTTGTGGAGAATTTTTTGTATATACTCATCATCAAACTAATGATACTCCTTTCTGTTTCTAGTTGAGTAAGTTTTATGAGGAATAGATGTTAAATTTTATCAAGTGCTTCTCTGTACCTATCGGGATGAACATATAATTTGTTTTCTCTTTTTTTCTGTTACTGTGGTAAATTTCATTGGTCAAGAATTCCTTTACACATTTTATCTTTATTTTGAATGTTCAGAATTCTTGAATGTGGTCCTTATGACTCTATAATAATAAAGATTACTATCAACATACAAAAATCATTGTATTTTAATGGTATCTTAAGATTCAAATGAAGTATGTCCTGTTATTTTGTCCCTGAAAGAATAACGATACTGTTTTAATACTAATGTTGTTACTAGGTGCTATCCAGTTGGCTTTGACTCAGTGACCCCATATAACAGAACAGAACTACTCCATAGGGTTTTCTATGCTGTAATCTTTATTGAAACTGATCACTAAGTCTTTCGTGGAGCTACTGGGTGGATTGTAACTGCCGACCTTTTGGTTAGCAGCCAAGCGCTTAACTGTTGCACCACCAATGTTCCTTTAGTAGTAATAGTAGCATTTATTGAGGAGTGTTTGTATGCTGGGCATTATTCTAAATATAAATGTATGTGTATATATATGTGTCTGTGTATTTATCTATATATACATATACATATGAAAGAATTTTCTATACATATTTATACACATATGAAAGAATTGGTGAAGAACAAGGCACCAGGAATTGATGGAATACCCACTGAGATGTTTCAGCAAACAGATGCCCCACTGGAGGTACTCACTCAGTTATTCCAAGAGATTTGGAAGACAGCTTCCAGGTCAACTGACTGGAAGAGATCCAGATTTGTACCCATTCCAAAGAAAGGTGATCCCACAAAATGTGGAAATTATCGAACAATATCATTAATACTGCACACAAGTAAAATCTTACTGAAGATAGTTCAAAAACAGTTGCAGCAGTTTATTGACAGAGAACTTCCAGAAGTACAAGCTGGTTTCAGAAAAGGATGTGGAATGAGGGATATCATGGCTGGTGTCAGATGGATCTTGGCTCAAAGCAAAGAATACCAGAAAGATGTTTACTTCTGCTTTATTGACTGTGCAAAAGCATTTGATTGTATGGATCATAACAAATTGTGGATAACATTGATAAGAATGGGAATTCCAGAACACTTAATTGTACTCATAAGGAACCTGTGCATAGACTAGGAGGCTGTCATTCAAACAGAACAAGGGAATACTGCATGGTTTAAAATCAAGAAGGGAGTGCATTAGGGTTGTATCCTTTCACCATACTTATTCAATCTGTATGCTGAACAAATAATCCTAGAAGCTGGAGTATATGAAGAAGAACATGGCATTAGGATTGGAGGAAGAATGAGTAACAACCTGCAATATGCTGACGATACAACTTTGCTTGCTGAAAGTGAGGATGACTTGAAGTACTTACTGATGAAGATTGAAGAATACAGTCTGCAGTATAGATTACATCTCAATATAAAGAAAACAAAAATCCTTACAACTGGACCTATAAGAAGCATCATGCTAAATGGAGAAAAGATTGAAATTGTCAAAGACTTCACATTGCTTGGTTCTCCAGTTGACGCCAGTGGAAGCAGCAGTCAAGATATCAGACGACGTATAGCACTGGGCAAATCGGCTACAAAGGACCTCTTTTGAGCGCTGAAGAGCAAAGATGTTCTTGAGGACTAAGGTGCTCCTGACACAAGTGATGGTATTTTCGATTGCCTCATATGCATGTGAGAGCTGGACAATGAATAAAGAAGACCAAAGAAGAGTTGATGCTTTCAAGCTGTGGTGTTGGCGAAGAATGCTGAAAGTACTGTGGACTGCTAAAATAACTAACAGGTCTGTCCTGGAGGAAGTACAGCCAGAATCTTGGAGGCGAGAATGACCAGACTTTGTCTCACATGCTTTGGTCATGTTGTCAGAAGGGACCATTCCCTAGAGAAGGATGTCCTGCTTGGTAAGGTGGAGGGTTGACGAAAGAGGGAAAAGCCCTCAACGAGATGGATTGACATGGTGGCAGCAGCAACGGGCTCAAGTATAGCTGGCTCAGGACTGGGTGGTATTTCGTTCTGCTGTGCATAGGGTCGCTATGAGTCGGAGATGTCTCAATGGCACCTAACAACAACAACAACACACAATTTATTTAGAGCAACCCATAAGGGAGGTAGTATCATTAAACTTATTTTAAAAATGAGGAAACCAAGGTACAGAGAGCTTCAGTAATTTGCCCAAGGCTATGCAGTTAGCAGTAGATGGAGATGAAGTTTGATCCCAGGCACCCTGGCTCTAGAGCTCTCATGCTGAGAGCTCTAGACTATGCTTTACCATCTAGTTCTGTGCCATCAGGTTTATTTCATTCTTGTGTCGATTCCTTATAGTTGTTTTATCTTTTATCTCTGCTTTTAACCGTTAGTATGTGTCTTCCGATTTTCTCTTTAATTTTGCTTATAAATCTGGATGAGGTATAATAAAAAAAAGAAAAGTCAGCCTTTTCTATAGAGTGAAATACATGGCTTTGTAATAGCTTTCTTCTTTGTGTATTGGGGGTATTTTTTATTTTTAAATTTGGTGTTGCTGTGGTAGAAATTTATACTCCAGATAAGTGGGAAAATTGAGTGAGTGTGGGAAAATTGAGTGATTTTAAGTACTGTTTTTATCTTTTGACTATTATGTTTTAGAGGTTTTTTTTTTTTCCCCCTCCAACGTCATTGTCTTTTTCCTCAGGAGAAACATCAGATGGAGTCAGTAAATCAGTTCACAAGGTCTTTGCTTCCATGCTTGGAGAGAATGAAGATGATGAGGAAGATGAGGATGAAGAGGAAGAAGAAGAAGAAACATCTGAACAACCCACTGCAGGAGATGTGTTTGTGTTGGAGATGGTTCTCAATCGTGAAACAAAGAAAATGATGAAAGTAAATTGTTATTTATTTTGATTATTATACACATAATATAAAAAATTGACATGATATTATAAAAACAAGTTTTTAAAGTATACATAACCTGGGAAAAAATTCAAACTATAGCAAGGAAATAGCATGAAATAATCACTGTGACTGGTTTCTTGTGTTTCCTTTTAGACATTTTTTCTTTTTCTCATGAAAGTTTACAGAGCAAATTCACTTTCCACACAGCAGCTCACATATACTTTGTCTCATGACATTGACTACAATTTCCCACAATGCAACAGCTCCCCTCCCACTTCCTCCCCATAGCTACCTCTTCCCTGTGTCCTTCCCTCCATGCATCCTACCCCCTTAGTTGTCTCCCTTTGCATACACAGCCCTTCTGTTCTCCCATGATTGATCTCCAAGGAGTGTATCTACTGAGTATAAATGTTCACCTCATATGCCTATCTTTTGTTTGGCTGGAAGCCACAGGAGTGGGTTCAATTCCAGACCTGAAGGGCTTGGGGCTATAGTCTCATTGGTTCCTTCAGGCTCTTATCAGACCAGCAAACCTGGTCCCTTTGTTTTTGTAAATGATTTTGAGTTTTGTTCCACATTGTTCTCCCACTCTATCCAGGAGCTTCTACATAGAACTCCCTCTGAGTGGTTGACAGTGGTTGCTGGGCACCATCTAGTTCTTGTGGTCTCATAGTCACATAGGCTGAGGATTGCATGGTATACCAGTCGCTTGGACTAAATGCTTCCATGAATCTTTGGTTTTCTGCATTCTTTGCTTCCTTTTAGAGATGTTTTTTTTTAATGTAAAATTCCATTTATTGCAGGTGTGAAAATACATTTTAGTTGTGCTATTGAAAAGGCCCATACTATAACATAATATTTTTTAAATTACATTCATTCTGAGTGGACAAACTTGAAGGAAGGATTTTTAGCAGATTATATTATAGTAACTCTTCTAGCAATACACTTCTGTGTTTGTTTGCTACTATTCTAATTGGTAATATAGCATAGTTATTTGTAACCATGTTAGTTTTTGCTTTCTTTATACATTTTACTATGCATTGAACTTTTTACTGTAGGAAACCTTTTTTATTGTTATTTTTTTTAAGATTTTCTAAGCTGCTCCTCTTTGATGTCTATCAGAATAATTTCTCTTCTTTTCTGCAGTTGATTTTATACTTTTTCCTGCAATATAGACTTAAATATCAATGAGTCTATTAGATTTGCAACCATTTAGTCTTCAGTTTTGAGTTCAGGTGATTTAAAAGTACTCAAGGAAAATTTCAGTTCTATTGTCTTTTGTATTTGTTAACATGGTTGGAACTAATATCTAAGAGTTCATTATATTTTAATGTAAACTTCATTCTTCCTCCATGTAGGAGAAGAGGCCTCGGAGTAAACTTCCCAGAGCTCTGAGAGGTCTCATGGGTGAAGCCAACATTCGTTTTGCTAGAGGAGAACGTGAAGAAGCTATATTGATGTGTATGGAAATCATAAGACAAGGTATGTTCTATGGAGACTTTATTGATGATAGTACTTGAATAGTTTGATTTTTAAAACAAAATGGAAGAGTACTTCACTGTACCTTTTAGAAAATATTTTCAGAAGCTTGAAATAGTTATGATGTTTCTTATTTGCCAGTATATACTTGAAAGCATCATTACCAAAGAAATGAAAATCACTTATTGAACTCTTACAGGCTCTTTTTTTATTTTTGTTTGTTTTGTTTTTGATCTGTTTAATTTTAAGGGTTAAACTTTTGTAGTCTTTGTCATATATGGGAAACATATTAAAATCACTTGAAGAGCATTCTTTTTTCTTCCATTTTCCAGATCAGGCACCAAAAAAAACCCCAAACTCACCACCATCGAGTTGGATCTGACTCATCGTAACCCCTCCCTAGGTTTCCGAGGCGGTTTCACATCAGAAGTAGATTGCCCAACCTTCCTTCCAGGAAGTGGCTGGGGCACTGTGCCACCAGAGCTCCCTCCAGATCAGGCAGTGCTGCATTATGTTAATCTGCCAGACCATGGTATTCTTTTGGCAAAAGACCCAATTTAAACTTGTCATCTTACCTCTCCGTTAAGCTACAAACCAGGGGCCTGTTGAAGAATAGCTTTAGAGTATCTCTGAAACAGTTGATTAATCACTTATATTTATTATTTACTTTCCTGAGGTTTTACCCTGCATAGTGACTTAGATAGACACAGTATGGTTTGTTTTAATTTATCTCTTCAATATTTTGGTATTTATTTTCATTTAGTCTAAACCAAAAAAACCATACTCATTGCTGTCAAGTCAATTATTTACAGCGACCCCTCCTTGGGTTTCCAAGGCGGTATCACTGCAGAAGTAGATTGCCCAGTCTTCCTTCTGAGGAATGGCTGGTGTGTTTGAACCACCAACCATCTGGTTAGCAGTCAAATGCTTTAGGCACTATGCCACCAAAGCTCCCTCATTTAGAGTACGGTTCTTTTAGGGTTTTTTTTCTGTTTGTGTTAAGGCCACTGCTTTTTCTTTTTAGCTCAGCAGAAATAAAATTTATCACGCATGAAGACTAGAGTATTGGAAATGGAACAACTGGAATGCAAAGAGAATGCTGACCCGTTGTGAAAAATGTAACTAATGTCATGGAACAATTTGTGTAGAAATTGTTAAATAAGAAATTACTTGCTGTGTATACTTTCACTGAGAATAGTAACATTTTTTTTTTTTAAAAAAAGGAAATAACCAGACTTTTCCCTTCCATATCAGTTATTCCTTTATTTGTATTCATATATTTTTTTTAACAATTATCTTTGATTTTAATCCCTACTAATCTTGAACTTCATTTCAGAAACATTATTTCAGACATGACCTTAACCATTTACTTAAATATCCTGGGTTTATGTGCAGCATGAGTATTGTATGTCAGTCAGTTCATTGTGTCCTGCTAGGTGTGGGAGCTGGAGCCTGAAGATTCAATTAAACTGATGTAGCTAATGCTAACTGGAATGAACTTTCTGAGTTACTGAGCCATGCTCAGCCTTGCTGAAGGTAGGATTTTTATGAGGAGGATTTTATGGAAAAATAATACTTTCTTTAGAGAAAATAATGCTTTAAAAATGCTATAAATTTATGAAAGTAAAATAAAGAAATTATAGGCTAGTGGCTGTCCTAAATTCCATTAAGTAGTTTGTATAGTTCTGTTAGACTGTCTTAAAGAGTTTAGCTATTAAGGGGTCTTTGGTTTGAACCATGGGATTACATTAGTCTAAGCCTCTTTTGATGACCTTATTACCACCAAGAAAGAAAAGCCAGGAGAAAGAAAATCTTTTAGACCCAGGTCCCTGTGCTGAGAAGCTCCTAGACCCAGGAGAAGATCATTGCCAGGCACATAGAGATCTCCAAGGAATGCCAGACCCACAGATTTTGAAAAGAGGCAGGGACCTTCCTCCAGAGCCTACAGGGAGAGAATTTGAATTTCTAGCCTCCTAAACTGTGAGAACACATCTGACAGTTTGTTGGATTATAGTGGCTTGCATGTTACAGTGATGCTAGAAAACATGCCACTGGTATTTCGAATACCAGCAGGGTCTCTGATGGTGGACAGGTTTCTGCAGAGCTTCCAGACTGAGACAGACTAGAAATAAAGACCTTGTGATTTACTTCTAAAAAAATTGGCCGGTGAAAACTTTATAAATAGCAGCAGAACACTGTCTGATACAGTGCTGGAAAATGAAACCTCATGTTGGAAGACACTCAAAATACAACTGGGGAAGAGCTGCCACCTATAGCAGAGTCAGCTGTAACAACATGGATGGAGTCAAGCTTTTGAGACCATTTTTTGCTGATAAGACACAATTCAAAATGAGAAGAAACGGCTATAAACATCCATTAATAATCAGAACGTTGAACGTATGAAGCATGAACCTAGGAAAATTATAAGGCAAAAATGAAATGGAATGCATACAGATTGATACCCTCTGCATTAGTGAGCTGAAATGAATTGCTGATGGCCATTTTGAATCAGACAGTTATATGTTCTGTGATGGGAATGACAAATGGAAGAGGAATGAAGTCACATTCATTGTGAAAAAAGAACATTTCAAGACCTATCCTGAAGTGCAGTGCTGTCAGTGATATGATGATACCAATATACCTATAAGGAAGACCATTTAATATAACTATTACTCAAATTTGTGCATCAACCAGTAATGACGAAGATGATGAAATTGAACATTTTTACCAACTTCTGCAGTCTGAAATTGATCAGACATGTAATGAAGATACATTAATTATTACTGGTTATTGGAATGTGAAAGTTGGAAACAAAGGTGATAGAAATGACACTGGAGATCACATGACAGAATTTTTCAAGACCCAACAACTTACTGATCACAAATATCTGTTTCTAATAACATGAATGGTTATTAGAACCTTGCCAAATGGAATATACAGGAATCAAATCGACCCCATCTGTGGAAAGTGACGATGGAGAAACTCAGTATATCAGTCAAAATAAGGCCAGAGGTCTACTGAGGAACAGACCATTCATTGCTTATATGCAAGTTTAAGTTGAAGCTGAAGAAAATTAAAACAAGTCTGTAAGAGCCAAAGTGTATCCCACCTGAATTTAAAGACTAACTCAAAAGATTTGACACTTTGAATGCTAATGATCAAAGACCAGATGAGTTGTGGTATGGCATCAAGGACATCATACATGAAGAAAGCAGAAGGTCATAAAAAGAAAGGAAAGGAGGAAAACACCAGCATGGATGTCAGATGATTCTGAAACTTGAACATTCACTAAAATGAATGAAAGAAATTAAGAAAAAGAGCTGAACAGAACATTTAAAAGGGCAGCTAGAGAAGACAAAGTATTATAATGAAATATGCAAAGGCCTGGAATTAGAAAACCAAAAGAGAAGAATGTACTCAGCATTTCTGAAGCTGAAAAAACCAAAGAAAAAAATTCAAACCTCAAGTTGTAATATTGAAGGATTCTATGGGAAAAATATTGAATGATGCACATAGCGTCAAGGGAAGATGGAATATAGAGAGTAGCTGTACCTAAAAGAATTTGTTCAACCATTTCAGGAGGTAGCGTATGTGATCCAGAACTGAAGGTACTGAAGGAGGACATCCAAGCTGCATGGAACCAAGAATTGACAGAATACCCACTGAAATGTTTAAATAAAGGGATGCAGTGTTGGTAAGCACTCACTTGTCTATGCCAAGAAATTTGGAAGACAGCTACCTGGCCAACCAATTGGAAGAGATCCATTTTTCCACTCATTCCAGAAAAGGGTGATCCAACAGAACGTAGAAATTACCAAACGATATCATTAATACCACATGAAGGTAAAGTTTTGGTGGAGATAATTCAAAAATGGGTGCAGCAGCACATTGACAGGGAACTTTCAAAAATTCAAGCTGGATTTAGAAGAGTATGTGTCAGAAGCATCTTGGCTGAAAGAGAATACCAGAGAGATGTTTAACTGTGTTTTATTTATTTATTTATTTATTTATTAGTCTTTTCTTTCATTCTTTTTTTTTTTTTTAACTACCTTTTTTTTTTTTTAATTTTATTTTGATTTGGGTGAAGATTTACAGAGTAAATTTACTTTTCATACAGCAGTTCACATATACTTTGTCTCATGTCATTGACCAAAATTTACAATGCAACAGCTCCCCTCCCACTTCCTCCCCATAGTTACCTCCTCCCAGTGTCCGTCCCTTCATACTCTTCTGCGCCCTGAGCTGTCTCCCTATGCATAAGCAGCCCTTCCTTCTCCCATGATTGTTCTCTCCAGGGTGTGTGTCTGTTGTTGTTGTTGTTATGTGCCGTCGAGTCGCCCCGACTCATAGCGACCCCTCCTTGGGTTTTCGAGGCAGTATCACTACGGAAGTAGGATTGCCCAACCTTCCTTCCGAGGAGTGGTGTGTCTACTTGAGGTAAATGTTTAACTCACTTGCCTGTTCTTTGTTTAACTGTGTTTTATTGAATGTGCAAAAATATTTTGACTGTGTGAATAACAAATAATGGGTAGCCTTGCAATGAATGGGAAGTTAAGAACACTTTATTGTGCTGATGCAGACCAGAGATAGTCTTTCAAACAGAGCATGGGGATACTGCATGGCTTAAAATCAGGAGAGGTGTACATCAGGGTTGTATCCTTTCATCATACTTAAATTAGTCTGTATGCTGCTGAGCAGATATTCCAAAAAGCTGGACTGACTTTATGAAGAAGAACATTGCATTGTGATCATTAACAACCTTGGTTACTGAAAACACAGAGGACTTGAAACATTTATACTGAAGAAGATCAGAGACTACAGCCTCCACCTCAGTATAAAACAAATCCTCACAACTGGACCAACAAGCAACATCATGATAAATGGAGAAAATACTGAAGTTTTCAAGGATTTCATTTCATTTGAATCCACAGTCAACATCCATGAAAGTAGCAGTCAGGAAATTAAATGATGTATTGCTTTGGGCAGGTCTACTGTAAAAGACCTCTTTAAAGTGTTAAAAAGTAAAGATGTCACTTTGAGGTCTAAAGTATGCCTGAACCAAGTCATGGTATTTTCATTAGCCTCATATGCATGTGAAAGGTAGACAGTGAATAAGGAAGAATGAAGAAGAATTGATGCCTCTGAATTACGGTGTTGGGAAGAAGTACGGCCAAACTTCTCCTTAGAAGGAAAGATGGCGTCTTTGTCTCATGTACTTTGGATGTTTTATCTGGAGGGACCAGTCCCTGGAGAGAGAACATCATGCTTGATAAAGTAGAGAGTGAACAGAAGAGAGGAAGACCCTCAGCAGGGTGGGTTGACACAGTGGCTGCAATGGTAGGCTCAAACATGGCAGTGATTGTGAAAATGATGCAGGGCCAGGCAGTGTTTCACTCTGTTACACATCAGGTCGCTATGAGTCAGAACCAACCTGATGGCAACACTAACAACAGTTGCTTACTGAAAACACAGAGGACTTGAAACATTACAATTAATTACAACCAATACAATTAATTTGTTTTTAATTAATTTTTAATTTTAATTAATTTTTGTTGAGAATATACACAAAACATTCCCCAATTCAGTAATTTCTACATATACAATTAAGTGACATTGATTACATTCTTCATGTTATGCAACCGTTCTCACTCTCCCATTCTGAATTGTTTCTCTCCCATTAACATAAACCCTGGAATTTGCTTTTTTTTAATTCATTATAGCTCCTCTGGCTTATGAGCCATTCTCTACTCTTGCCATGATATATGAGGACCAAGGTGACATGGAGAAATCATTGCAGTTTGAATTGATTGCTGCACATTTAAATCCCAGTGACACAGAAGAATGGGTGAGACTGGCAGAAATGTCTCTGGAACAAGACAATATTAAACAGGCTATTTTTTGTTATTCGAAAGGTAATTAATTTTTTTCTCATTTTGTTTGAGAACGTTATATAATAGGCTGTTTCATAATTGTACTTGCTGTTCTGGGTTGTGATGGTAAGTGGAATATATTTATACTTTATAGTCTTACGCTAAAAGTATTATGGGCTGTTCTGTTTTCATGTTTATCAGCAACTTTATTATATTCTGAGCTAATCTAGCATAGAAGTTGATAATTGAACAGTACCTTTAATTTTTTGCCACTAAGATCAATGTTGATTGTAAATTGTAACATCAGACAAGAGTCCAAATGAAGAACATTAATATAGAGATTCAGGTTCTATTTGGTCTTGGGTCAGACTTAGTCAAGAGTTCCTGTGAAGGCAGATTTATTTTAGGCTACTGCCCTTGTTCCACTAAAGAATTAAAGTATTAAAATTTCTGAAAAGATGCTCAGTCATCCACAGGTACCATGCACCTTGTTTTGTGTTAAATCCTAATTTAGAATCTTTTTTTTTTTCAGCCCTTAAGTATGAACCTACTAATGTTCGTTATCTGTGGGAAAGATCAAGCCTTTATGAGCAGATGGGAGATCATAAAATGGCAATGGATGGTTACAGACGTATTTTAAACTATTTATCTCCATCTGATGGAGAACGTTTTATGCAGTTGGCTAGAGATATGGCAAAGTAAGTTTGGAGTGAAATGTATATACATGTTCTTATTAATCATCTTATTTTAGAAATCAAAGCATATGTTTGAAGTAGAATATACAATTTCATTGAAGTTCAAGGAAGTTAGGAAATCATGTTTTTACCTTCTGTATTTTATATTGTGCCTAAATATAGAGGTGGTTTTTCAATACTTTTATGTTCCCAAGTCTGTTTTCAAGATTGCTTAGAAAATTGTTTCTATAAGAATATGTAAGAATGGGTTGTAGTGGTAAGAGAATTGTTTAAGTTGGGAATAACACAGTATAGTCATATTTGGATGGGAACATTGCAAAATTGAGGGACACATTAAAGGTTTATGAGAGGATGATGATAGCTTGAATGGTGTCTTCGTATAGGTTAGCAGGAATGGGATCTAGTTGGGGTTGGCTTTATGTATTCATCCCTGATAGAGGAGGAAGGCAAAGGATATAGCTGCAGTTATAGGTCTGTATCTATGGGTAGATATAGTACAAATGTGTGGGAGGAGAAAATGTGAAATAGTTCTCTAGGACCTTGGTATCCCACAGACTGGCAGCATTTGTATCACCTAGGAGCTCGTCAGAAATACTGAATGTCTTCTCAGCCTCAGCTTTATTGAATCAGAATATGTCTTTTTATAAGATTTCCAGTTGACTGTATGCACATTCAAATTTGAGAAGCACTGGATTAGGTAACTGTGGTAAGATTGCCACTTAGTACCAGGGGTTCATTTGAGGCTGCCAAAACCAAACTCATTGCCATCCAGTTGATTTTGACTCATAGCAACCACTTCTTGGGTTTCCAAGGTGGTATCTCTATGGAAGTAGATTGCCCAGTCTTCCTTCCGAGGAGTAGCTGGTAGGTTTGAACCACCAGCCTTCTGGTTAGCAGTCAGATGTCTTAGGCACTATGCTACCAGAGCTCCTTCATTTGAGGCTGTTGTTGTTGTTGTTGTTTGCCGTCGAGTCGGCCCTGACTCATAGCGACCCCTCCTTAGGTTTCCGAGGCAGTATCACTACGGAAGTAGGATTGCCCAACCTTCCTTCCGAGGAGTGGCTGGTGGGTTTGAACCGCCTGCCTTCTGGTTAGCAGTCAAGTGCCTTAGCCACTATGCTACCAGAGCTCCCTCATTTGAGGCTAGTAGTCATTAATTTAGAGTGAGACCAGTCAGTGTGTTTGGATTGTTTGGGTTTTCTCTAGCTATGTTCAACTTGGCAGGTGGTGGAAAAGTATAGGCATAGTAGGATTTAACCAGGGTTGAGTTTTTATCACATGATTTTGATAAAGGGAGAGAAGGGCAAGAAAATTACAGAGTTGTGCAATATAATATAATGTTAGACCATGAGGAAAGAGGAAATTGAGGGCCTGACAGGGGTAGGGGTCACTGAAAAAAAAGTGGTGGGGACATGCTTTGTAGATCCTGTAAACAAGAGTTGTTGGTTTTGGATTACAGAGGGAATGAGCTAGAATGACAGGAGGTAGCTTTTGGAGAGTGAGATGCTTGATACTATGATCTTACTGTACTGACATTGCACATTTTTCTCTGGATCAGCTCTGATTATGATTTTAAAGAAGAAAGATTTTTCTCTGAAAATCCCAGTTAACAGAGGGCCTAAGCACAAAAATAAGTTTTGTAATCTGAATTAAATAAGTACTCATCAATTTGCCACTTACATTTTTTAGGAGTTACTATGAAGCCAATGATGTTACTTCAGCTATTAACATTATTGAAGAAGCTTTCTCAAAACACCAGGGCCTAGTCTCCATGGAAGATGTTAACATAGCAGCTGAACTATTCATTTCTAACAAGCAGTATGACCGAGCTTTGGAGGTAGGAACGTTTATAAGTTTGTTAGGTTTTGAATGCGTTTCTATGTTTTAGAAATTCTTACAGATTGACAGACCCTCATTTTAGTATATACATTAAATTTACAAAAGAGTTTGTGTGAAAACAATAGATTTCTGTATTCCATATGAAATATAGAATGTAGTTATATATGATAAAAAAGTGTTGTTATCACAAGTGCCAGTTATGTCTACCGCCTAAGTGCTATCATTCGACTCTTAAACTGTTGGGAAAAGTACATTGGTTTGATACTGGAGAATGTCTTTAGTTAACTTTAGTAAATATGATATAAAAATGTTAATGTACCACAGTAATTCTGTAATTAAACAATATTTACTGTTGTAAGAATTATTTGATTTAACTGTATAAATCTTTGCACTGGGCAAAGGTTTCTTATTACAAAAGTGCTGTATTACTTCCTTTTTTCCCTTTCAGATAATTACTGATTTTTCTGGAATCGTGTTGGAAAAAAGAACTATGGAAGAAGGCACCCTGGAAGAAAATAAAGGTTGTAGTCTCCTCTGCATAGGAAAACATAAATACTCCTCTCTTATTCATAATATGATAGTTTGAATTCATAATATTCACGTAATAAATTTTCCCAAGCAGCATTTTTTCCTCAGAGAGATATCTTTTTCTTATATTGACTCACAAGTAATTTTTTTTAAATGTTTGAGTCTCTCTTATTTCTCAGTATATCCATTTGAACATTTGACCCAAGACCTTTCTTAGTGTTATGTGGAAAAAGAATGAATTACTGAACAGCTAATTAAAAATCTTTAGATTGAAACAGTTTGCTTTTTAAAAAGGCTTACAGTGCTCTGATTTTAAAAACTACTTTTTAAACTTAAGCATTCACATAAAAAGTAGAAACTAACATGACTCCCCTATATTGTTTGAAAACTCTAAATGTGTCATTAGAGATCTTCTTAGAAAGTCATGCCTGAATGCTGGCTTTCAGGGTCTCTTTCAGCTCTTTCTCTATCCCAGCTCTTTTCTAGACACTACTCCGTTAACCTGTTCTGTAAAAATACTAACGTGCAGGAGCCTACCTGAAGTGACAATAAAGCTGATCTTATGGACAGAGTAGACTTCCCCTGTGCTTATGAGAGAATTCTTCAGTATCTTCCACCCCTATTCATGAGCCTTGTGATGGTGGTTGTAGGTGGTTGGTACTGAGGACTGTGTTTAAAAATAACTCCCTCCCTGGCCTATCATGATACCTAAATATTCGTCATTATATAATTCATTTACATAAATCAACTTGTGGTAATTCATAGAGAGCAAGCACTAAGGTGAGAGAGACGAAAATGATAAATGTTGGAGCAGAAAGTTGTTGAAGAAAGAAAAGCCTAATTGTAGAAAACTATAAAGTACTATGATAATTGTGTGGAGAATACACAGTATGACATTTCTTGACCTTGAGGAAATAGAGAGGGGAAGAAGGGTTCTAATGAAATGTGTACAGTTTCATTATGATAAGAGTCATGTAATAAGACTCATGTTAGGGGGAAATAGAAGTGGACAGTATACTTCAGAGGAAGTTCATAGACCTCAGACAAACATCCACGCATTCAAGACTGAGGGCACTGCCTGATGTGGGCAGGCTCAGTTAGGGTGCTTTGGTTGGGGGACCTGAGTGTTTGGGTGGTATAAATTGAGTGGAGTGAGGAGTAGTATGAAAGCGTGGATTAGGGCATCTGAAGGACTCTACTGATTTTGTTACTTTTCTTGGACCTGGACTAAGCTAACAATTAAGGTACTACTTTAAAGCCATAATTTCTATTTAAGATACATCTTCTAGAAAATTATTGCTGCCCTTTGTTTTGAAAAATACTAAAAGAAACAGTTCTGTTCCTTTTTAATGATAAGTGTAATCAATTATTTTCTCTATATTTTACTATATTTTGTTGATTCTACTTTTTTTCCCTTTTTCATACATTATAACCTTTCTCTCTAAAAGTTAAAATACATAGATACATTTTATTGAATATTATTTCTAGAAAAAGATCAATGACAGACTTTGGGAATATTGAGCCCATATATAATAGAGGTAGGATCCTGTTTTAGGGCTTATTAAAGCTAGTGCATTGTGTTTAATCCTAATTCAGATGTGTGACCATAGCTACTGTCTGCAGAAGAAATACGCTGTGGCTGTAGCCTTGAGTCAGGTAGACGCGATCGCTGCCCTTAGGGAGCATTATGATCTGGGATAAATAATTAACGCGGTAGGGCTCTCACTGAGCAGATTAAATATCAAAGCTAGGTTTCTGATACCACTTATTCTGTAGTTCTGTGATTAAAAACAGTCTCTTAATTAAACTTATCCAAAACTACCTATGAGTTGTTAATTTTAGGCATTACTCTAATTTATATGACGTGTTCTATAAAACAGATGAAATTATTTCATTTTCAATAAAATTTTAAATTTTATTCCACCATTTAAGATACATCTCTGATGTCCCTCTATGCTTCAGGTTTCTCTGAAATGGAATCATGTAAATTAATTTGTAGTTTATTAGACTCTGCAGAATATACTTTAAATGTGGTTTAAAACTAATTTTCCAGGGCTTTAAAAATTGTTTTATTTTAATGGAGTTTTAGGAAACAAGGCAATAGCATATCCCTTTCCTAGCCTCTTTGTAATGAAGATTAAAAAGAGGTTTCAGAATTCGAGAATCAAAAAGAGAGGATTCATAGAATCTCATTTATCATTTTTATCCTTCTAGTTCTATAGTTTTGATGGAAGGTATGGGACTTTATGTAGGTTTTCGATAAGTAGATGAGATGTTAGGAAAAGAATAGGAAGGTAATTCCTACCAAAAGACAGGATGAAGGAGATGGATGTAAGAACCTAATGATAGAATTGACTTAACTGGGAAGGACCATGGAATCATTTGCTTTGAATGAAGTTAATGAGATCTTTCTTACATAGAAGATTCAATTTGCTTCATGTGCCCTTCATTCTGAGCTTGCAGATGGGAACTGCTTTTTGTCTGTCTGTTCTACAGCTGGTGAGAGTGTTTCCTGCACTATACCTGAGGGAGTGCCAATAGATATCACAGTGAAATTGATGGTCTGCCTTGTACATCTCAACATCCTGGAACCACTTAATGTAAGTAATGTTAAGATCTGCACTTAGAGTACTTCAGATCAGGAAATGTAACTTGACCCTAGATGTTCCTATTTCTTAAGCAGGGAGGTAACAATAAGCATGAAATTGTTTTTGTATGAGTGTCTTATAAAAGCTAAAAGTGTTTTAGAATTGGCTTATAGTAATTTATTTTTGTTTTAAAATGAGAACACACTAGGTCAGAATATGAGATTGAGCCTTTTAGACAGTTAGTGATAAACCTGACAGCTATTCTCTTTGCCAACTTTGGCCCAAATATTTCATTTAACAAAAATGTATTGAGCATCTACGTTTTAGACCTTAAGATAAGGTATTGAATAAAATATACAAATAGCTGCCCTCATGGATATTTCATTCTAATGAGATTAGATAATAAATCAATATATAAAATATATAGGATGTTAATTGGTGATAAATGCTATGGAAAAAAACAACAAAGAGGAATAGGGAGTATTGAAGATGGGAGGTTTCAGTTTTAAGTAGAGTGTCTAAGAAAGCCCATTCTGAAAGGTAACATTTGAATAATAACCTGAAAGAAGTGAGGTACAAGTAAGCCCTGCAGGTGTCTGTAGGAACAGCTTTCCTGAAAGAATAACAAGCATGGGGGGTATGCCTTGAGGCAGGGGTGTGGCTGACATGTTAGAGGAAGAGCATGGCAGACCAATGTGGGTGGAGCTCCTGCAATGCCTGTCTTATAATAAGCCCTCAACAGTACTTTGGCAAGTGAATTGAATGGTGGAAGAATGAGTTCATTGTTTATAGAGAAACAGGTTTTTTAAGTTATCATTTAAAGCTATTTTTATTAAATCTTGCTCCTTTAGGCTTGCCTCATGTAAATGGTACATAAATACATGTTACAAAGTTAAGTGTATATACAAAAATGAGCATTTTTAAAATGGATGTTTGACTTTAGGCTTTTATTTTGGGGTTTAGCCTCTCTTGACAACACTAGTGGAACAGAATCCTGAAGATATGGGAGACCTGTACCTAGATGTTGCTGAAGCTTTTTTGGATGTTGGTGAATACAATTCTGCACTGCCCCTCCTCAGTGCACTGGTCTGCTCTGAAAGATACAACCTTGCAGTAGTCTGGCTTCGGCACGCAGGTACTCCTCTCCAGTAACAGAATTGGGCAAAAACTTTCCCAGTATGGTAATAACAATACCAAATGTTAATATTTTAGTGAAAATATTTCTGGTTTTGAGGCAGCTTAAGTATTTTTCATTGAATTGGTGAGCCACAGTGTGATTTCTCCCTTACTAGTCCTTTGGGGGAACACTTTCACTTAGTGGTAACATCATGAAATAGAAGGACTTACATGTCCCTCAAATGCCTGTCTTTTACCTGGGGCAGTTTGACCATAGGCTCTGGTTTCCTGTCAGACTTGAGTGAAATCTAATATTTGAAGCATTTTTATAGATTTATGACTGCTAACTAGAAGGCTGGCGGTTCAAACCCACCAGCTACTCCTCGGAAGGGAAGATGGGGCAATCTACTTGTGTAGTGATAATGCCTTGGAAACCCAAGGAGGGGTCACTATGAGTTGGGTCCGACTTAATGGCACATAACAACAACAATGTTACTTTAAGAAAAAAAAATATATTTAATGAGTTTTTCAACGTTCTTTGAACCAAAGATATACTCAAAATTGGATTTTATCAGTCATTTTATCTTATTGTACCTAAATTCCCAGTAATCTGAAATAAATCATTTGGAGTGGAAATAAAAGCTTGAGAAACACATCTACATTTTAAAGAAATACATGAAAGTAAAAAATATTCTAATGGGATTTCATATTGAGTCGACATAAAATGTGTTTTAAGATTTGAGTATTCTTGGTTTAAAAAACTGCATGAAGACTGAAAGTGAGACCTATGACTAGAGAAGCATTGATTGACAATTTGGATCAGTAGCTCACTCATATACAAAACAAAATGGAATACACTGCTGTCGAGTCAGATCCGACCCATAGCGACCCCTCTTTGGGTTTCCGAGGCAGTATCACTACAGAAGTAGATTGCCTAACCTTCTTTCTGAGGCATGGCTGGTGGGTTTGAACCACCAGCCTTCTGGTTAGCAGTCAAATGCCTTAGGCACCATGCCACCAGAGCTCCTAGCTCACTCCTATCATGTATGAAATAGGAAAGATGGCACCTAAGGATTAAGGTAACACTTCACTGTTTAAATGAGTCAGTGTGACTAGACACGTAACACCATCAATAAAACGTTAAGTGTGAGACTTGTATTTTAAAGACAGGAGCAGTAAGTTAGAATGTTGTTGCCTTTCTAAGGCTGTGATACTGAAACTGCACCTATACTACCTGTAGTTGATAAGTTTTTAAGTCTTTTTTGATTATGGTCACATTGCTGATAAAATCTGTTTCTCTTTTGAGCCTCTCTGGCTTCAGATTACTAGAAAGTAATCTAAAAATCATAAATTTGGAATCATGTATAAGGAATTAATACTTATAGTAAAATTTTAATATATTAAAAATGAAAAAGGATAAACTATAAGAAATGTCATTGTGATGATCCATCCATAATAGTATTTTTCCCTTTTTATCATCAAAGATTAACCTGAAGGGGATATTTAGGAAAGATTGGAGATGTGAGAAAATAATTGGAGGCAAAAATACCATTTTAGGAGTTAATTGCAGTGAAAAGGGAAAGAGGAAAGAGCCTAGATTAGGGTTGTACCTCTTACAGCCAAAAAAAAGGGAAGTACTTACAGGGACTCATTTTCAGGTTCAAATGATTTTGTGAGTGATTGGTTATAAAGTTTGAGAAATAGGGCCCAATAACCTTACTCTGAGGACTCAGCCCTGAGGACATAATTGAGTGGGCAAGGGGAGTTAGTTTATATTGTTTTTGTTGTTGTTATGTGCCATCGAGTCAGCCTTGACTCATAGCGACCCCTCCTTAGGTTTCCGAGGCAGTGTCACTACGGAAGTAGGATTGCCCAACCTTCCTTCCGAGGAGTGACTGGTGGGTTTGAACCGCCAGCCTTCTGGTTAGCAGTCAAGTGCCTTAGCCACTATGCTACCAGAGCTCCCAGTTTATATCGGGGATCACAAAACTCAGGAACCTAGAAGGTAGCAAAAAGGAGTAAAGTAGGCAAGTAAGAGTTGTAGGGGGACCTGAGACCCTGAGAGCCCTGTCCAAAGGGTGTTGCTGTTCCTCAGCCTGGGCTGATGTGCCGTATGCGGTACTGGCACCCACTGTTGGCACAGTCGTATTTTTCTAAATAATCCAGTACTCTGGAATTAAACAAATCCAAATTTTTTAAAATATTGGCCATTAATTAATCACTTTTAAAAACTCCCTGGCCTACCAGAACTCATCTGTGGGTTAAATTGGTCTGTTGGTTTGTGAACTCTGACTTAATACATGAAGATGTTTACTGTACTTTTATTTATTATAGTAAAAATTTAGAAACAACCTAAATGTCAAACAATATGATTAAATAAATAATCAGTTTGATCAGTTATTACATAGCCAAATAAAATACTAATGAAGACATGGAAAATGTTTAAAGTACAATGTTAGTGAATAAAGCTGAATCCAAAATGGTATGTATATGATAATTACATCCTCATAGCAATTAAATTTAGATGGATAGAGTCATCAATCACTAGATAGATAGAAATTTGATGAGATAATTGTTTCAAAGTACTAGAAATATGCGTGCATTTTTTCTTGTAATTTCTTTTGATGTTGTTATATTTAAAATAGAGAAATAGCTATTTTGACCAGTTTATATTTTATTTTAACATCATTGTAGAATGTTTAAAGGCCTTAGGCTATATGGAGCGTGCTGCAGAAAGCTATGGCAAAGTGGTTGATCTGGCTCCCCTCCATTTGGATGCAAGAATTTCACTTTCCACCCTTCAGCAGCAGCTGGGCCGTCCTGAGAAGGCTCTGGAAGCTCTGGAACCAATGTATGACCCAGATACTTTGGCACAGGATGCAAATGCTGCACAGCAGGTAGGCCATATAACAGAGAAGGAAGTTTTTCTTAGTTGATTATGTTTTAGAACTTTGTCCTCCTCAGTTAAGATCGCTACAGCTAATATTCAAAATTTTTAGGGTATTAAATTCAGTGTTTTTGAAAAGTGATTTTGAGTCTTAAATTCTAGCTACTCATTAGACATTGTAAATTGCCGTTTCTAAAATATTAGTCTTGATTATTTTAAAAATATTATAAAGCAAATGTTTTAAAAGTTTGACTTCTAAAAGAATACTTTTATATATAATCAGCTTACAGCAAACGACTCTTTGGCATACTCAGTTATCAGATGTTTATTTATTTAGGAACTGAAGTTACTGCTTCACCGTTCTACTCTGTTGTTCTCACAAGGCAAAATGTATGGTTATGTGGATACCTTACTTACCATGTTAGCCATGCTTTTAAAGGTGAGTAACAAACTTCTTTATATTAGCCTTGTTCACCTTTTAAATGTTTAGATTTAACCATAATATGATAGCTATTTTAAAGCCATGTTTTTTACTCTTCACTCATCAAACTTTTTAAAGTGAAAGTAAAATGGAAACAAAAGACTTAGAAAGGAGTGGTATATATTGAAAGTTCTACATGAGACTATAAACTTAACTTAGGTTCAGTCAAATAAAACCTTTACTAGTATCATTTGTCTTCCCACCAGTGTTCAGCTTGAGTGTCTGTCTGTGTATCCACTTGTAGATTATTACTGTTATTGTATGTTATAGTATTCACCTTTGTTGCCTTTAACTCTTGTGCTTCTCCCTGTGTCTTCCACCGCCTTGATTATTTTCTGCTGACCCCTGCCTTATTGTACATTACCTTTCCCTTCACACAAGTTAATAAGTGTCTGCCCATGAACATATATGGGTTTGACAGAGGGTATCTCTCTGTGTATTTATATGTGCTGGAAGTATGTCCATGAAAGTAGTAGAGCATACAGGGAGCAAAGTTCTGAAAACATCTTAGTCATAATGAAACACTTTTGAGGGAATGAGTCACAAGGCATGGGGGCTCAGGACCATAGTTTCAGGGAACACTAAGGTCAACTGGCATAACAGTCCACAAAGACAATGTTCTACATCTTTGGTAAATAGCGATTGAGGTGTTAAAAGTTTGTGAGCAGCCATCTAAGGTGCAACTATTGGTCTCTCCCCAACTGGAGCAGAGAAAGTGAAGAAAATAAGGCATAGGGAAATAATTAATCCAAAAGATTAATGGGCCCTATGAGCCCCAGCCTCCATGACCCTGAGATCAGAAGAACTAGATGGTGCCCACCTACCACTACTGACCTTTCTCAAAAGGATCACAATAGGAGGTCCTGGCTAGAGTAGGAGAAAAATCTGGAACAAGACTCAAAATCATAAAAAGACCAGGCTTACTGGTCTGATAGAGACTGGGAGACCTCCTGAGATTATGACCCTTAGACACCCTTCAAGCTGGGAACTGAACTCTACCCCTGTGGTTCAACTTTCAGCCAAATGATAGGCAGGCCTACAAGGTGAACATTGATACCAGGAAGGCATGCACTCATTGGAACAGTCTACCATATGACATCATTTGCCCAGGGATAGAGCTGGGAAGGCAAGAAGTGATAGGAGGGAAAGACAAAGGGAAGTAGTGGGCGCAGGGAAGAAGTGGGAAGAGTGCTGTGGCATTGTAGGGATTGCAGTGAATGTCACAAGACAATGAATATGGGTGGTTGAATGGAGAACCAATTTGCTCTGTACAGTTGCACCCAAATCGCAGTAAAATTTTTGCTAGTACATATTTTAGAAAAGTCTGAATCATAGTATTACCAGTTACTGGCCGTAGTAGATAATACCATGTACCCAAATTGCCCACCCTGTAAAAATGTTTTTCAGGTTTGTTGTCCTTCTGAGTCTGCCTTTTTTGTGAGGCGGTGGCTGTGTGTGTGTATTGAATTGACTTGTTTTTTTCTTACCAAAGGAATTTTACATCACAGCACTCATCTTTGTAAGGTATGAATTGCCTTCTTTTTCTGTACTAAGGCGAGTGGTATGACCCAGCATTTCTTTGGTAAGAGAATAAGGCAATTCATTCTCCTTTATGTGTTTAGATAGATAGATACAGATATAAATTTGGTTTCTTTCTTACTTTTTAAGGGAACTTTCAAGAACATTTTTGGTACTTGTGGCGTGTAAGTTTTCTTTAAAAGAATTATATGATTTGAAAAATCTCAAATTGTCATCTTTAATTCAGGTAGCAATGAATAGAGCTCAAGTCTGTCTGATATCTAGTTCCAAATCTGGAGAGAGGCATCTCTACCTGATTAAAGTGTCAAGAGATAAAATTTCAGATAATAGTGACCAAGAGACAGCAAATTGTGATGCAAAAGGTAATTACTTTCATTTTCTTTATTATATAAAATTTGGCTGAAATTTTTAAAAGGACATATAAAGTAACATCTGACAATAATCCAAATGAAAATATACACTTTTCAGATAAAATGAAATTTTCTAAAGTCCCACAAACGTCATTTGTTACTGGGGGAAAAAAAAATGCTAAATAAAATACCTGCTTGGGTCTTTTTGTGAAAAAACTAAAATAAAACTTTTTATTTTGACTTTGTAAGAAGAAATTATATCCTGTTTTAGGAATTTGTGAAGATTAGATGACAATGCAGTTTACTTGACCAGTCATCACTTCAATTACATATAATTCATTCTCTGTTAAATTCATTTTTGATAAATGTAGCAATAGTCATGGAAACTTTGTAAATAAATTGCTTTGACCCAGTCTCAGGTAGTAAAAGGTATCTATTTTTAGGTGGAAAAGCATCAAGTATGTTTGGGTAACATTATTACTCAGAGAGGCCACTTTGGAAAAAAAAAAATCTAGCATGTGATTTAGAGAGGTCAATTTAGCAGAAAGTGATTTCATTGTTAGTTCATTCATTCAGCAAACATTTATTAAATCATTGTTTCAGGCATAGCAGTATGCAGTGGTCAAGGTTTTAGAATCCAGAAGAGGTGAACAGTTATAAGATATAATAAAGGTCCTAAGATAAGCAGGGAAGGGAGATGAATGGAGGAGGGTCAAAGGAAGGGAGGATGACCACCCAACAGGCATGGAAGTCGAGGTGGAGGGACAGTCCAGCTGTTCATGTTCTGGGCATAGATGCCTCAGAGTCCCTCTGCGTCTCCTGTTCACTGAGTCTGGGCTTGGAATTTATCCTGACAGCTTTCACCTGTGCAGCATTTATTTTGGTTTAAATTTCCTTCAGTTTTATTTTTCTCTGTATCTGATCCTACTTGTTTTCTCTTTTGGTAATTACTTATTTCAGGTCCACTTTTGGTTTCCTTAGGCTCTTCAAGTTTTTCTTTTGTTAGTTAATTTCATCATGGTGGAGCTCACATCCTATTCCAGCATAGGACTAGCCAGGCTTCTATATTATGTGCAACTTTGTACTCTTATTTTTTCATTGAACATTTTATCATAAAAATTCTCTCATGTTACTCAAATCTCTTCTTAGCTATTATATTTAAGGAATGTGTGATCAATTCATTGTGTAGCAGTTTCAGAATATATTTAATCATTCCTTACTATTGTTTAGTATGTGGTTGTTTCTAATCATTTTCTAAATATTGCAGTGAGATTCTTCATGCATATAGATTTATCTATAGTTTGGATTGTTTAGAATCAATGCCAGAAGGTAAATTACTGAACCAAAGAGAATGAAAAAATTTATGGCTTTTGGTATTTTTTGTGAGTTGGAATTGACTCAGTGGCAGTAGATTTGGTTTTGGCTTGTTTTTTTGCAAAGGAAAGAGTTCTGGTGGTGCAGTGGTTAAAGTATTTGGCTGCCAACCAAAAGGTGAGCATTTCAAACCCACCAGCCACTCTGTGGGAGAAAGATGAGGCAGTCTGCTTCTTTAAAGATTACAGCCTTGGAAACCTGTGGAGCAATTCTGCTGCTCTAAGTTGGAGTCAACTCATTGGCAATGGTTTGGATTTGGTTTATACAAAGGAGGCTTCTTACAGAGAGTAAGAAAGACAAGGTTGTTAAAGAAAAAGAAAAATTTTGAAGCAGAGAAAAAGAAACTGAAATTAGAAAAAGATTAGGAACAGCATGAGTCTCAAAGTATGAATTGAGGTCACTTTGCTGAGCAGACATTTGGGTGCCTTGTATCTGACCCCAATCATGGAAAGCACACTAATTTTACCCTGTTGTTGTTTGTTGTTATTTGCCGTCAAGTGGGACCCGACTGATAGCGACCCCTCCTTGGGTTTCTGGGGTGGTATCACTACAGAAGTTCCTTCTAAGGACTGGCTGGTGGGTTTGAACCACCAGCCTTCTGGTTAGCAGACAAATGCCTTAGGCTCTACACCACCAGTGCTCCTAATTTTACCCTAGTGCAACATATATTCTAACTACTGCTGAGAAACACAAATTGAGTTAACTTGACTTTGTAGTGGACTTGATCATTCCTGCCAGACTTATCTGGAAGAAGGAGGACAAATCAAAAGTGCGAATTTAGTGGGATTGCAGAGTTTTAAGGCAGGCAGAGAAGAGGGGACAGTGTTGAAGGAGTGTAAATAAGCAGCTGTCCATTCACATCATCATTGGAAAATGTTGGCAAGAATTCAGATCCATAAGACCATAGTTACGAAGTTTACCTTAAAACGTTGTAGATTTTTTTCCTAATATTGCTGTTTCTGGAAATAGAGTATCCTGTTTTCCACTTTTCTTGTTTCAGCAATATTTGCTGTACTCACAAGTGTCTTGACAAAAGATGACTGGTGGAACCTTCTGTTGAAGGCAATATACTCCTTATGTGACCTGTCCCGATACGATGAGGCTGAGTTACTTGTGGATTCGTCATTGGAATATTACTCATTTTATGATGACAGACAAAAGCGCAAAGAACTAGAATACTTTGGACTTTCTGCTGCAATTCTGGATAAAAATTTCAGAAAGGCATATAACTATATCAGGTAACTTACCAGTAATTTATTTTAATCAAGTTCTTTGATAGAGGATGCACATTTACTTTGACTTATTTTCTCATAGCCAGGAATTAAGCTATTTTTATCTCTCTTGTGCCTTAATCTCCCATCAAATGCATATAATAAATATTGTAACTCCAGGTTTATTGTGAGGGTTAAATGAGTTGATATGTGTAATGTTTAATAATGCTTGGCACACGTCATTTTGATTCTGTTTTTTAGTTTAAAAGTTTTGTTGCGAAACAGAAACAAGGTGTAGAAAAACTTCAGCAGCATTTTCTGGGAGGAAGTCTTTAATATTGCAAGAGGTTCCGCTAAATAGAATGAAACAGTTTGCTTTTCTAGTTGCAGGATGGTGCATTTCAGTGTTGGTAGGACAACACTGAAGGGGCCTGCCTTGTAGACATCAGGAAGCTTTTCTTTTTCTCTTATTTTTCCCCTCACCCATTTTCTACAATTTTAGGATAATGGTGATGGAAAATGTCAATAAACCCCACCTCTGGAACATTTTCAATCAAGTTACTATGCACTCTCAAGATGTACGACATCATCGCTTCTGTCTACGTTTAATGCTGAAAAACCCAGAGAATCATGCGCTCTGTGTCTTAAATGGACACAATGCATTTGTGTCTGGTAGCTTTAAACATGCACTCGGTAAGTAAGTCCTGGCATGTGACTGTGCAGCATATATAGTGTGGTGGTGAAGAGACTAGACTCTGGAGCAAAGCTGCCTGGGTTTAAACAGCAGCCTTACCATGCCAAAGTCTTCCTCTCTCCATCTCCATTTGTTTATCTTTAAATTGGAAATAATAATTGGACCTACCTTACAGGTTATTTTGAGGATTATATGAGTTAATATAAACTGCTTAAAACAGTGCCTGGCACTGATTTTCTGTTAAGGATGGTGGGGAAATTTAGAATTGGCTAGTATTGATAATTGTACAACATGATGAATATAAATATAATTAATGTCACTTAAGTGTACATATAAAAAAAGTGCTGAAACAGCAAATACTTTGTGTTTTATATACATTTACCATAATGAAAAACAACAAAATACACACCAATGCCTACCACTACAGTAAGTGCTATATAAATGTTAGTAATAATAATAATTTTTGTTGTTACTAAGCTTTGGTTGTAGAAAGGTGAAGTAGGTCTTTGAATTGTTTTTGAAGATGAACAGTTCTCCCTGCTTATGCAGTTTTATGTTTAAGATTATTTTAATCACTTATAGATGCTTTCTCACTTGATCTTCATTTGGAATAATGCAGAAGAAGGATTTAGGATTTACTGATAGTTCATTCCTTTAGGGGAGATCTTAAAATCAAGATTTACTTGCATAGTGCTTATTAATTCTAATTAAACTCAGGGAAAGTTCATTATTCTTTTCTAATATGGAATAGGTATAATAGATACTAGAAGCAAATAAATAGAAAAATATTTAACTAAATGTTTAAACTTCAATTTGACCACATATCTCTTGCTGCCTGAAAGGCAGTATTATACTAGGTTCACATCTGAATGAATTGTGATTTGGGCTATTTCATAATTTCATGTTTCTTTGTGTATGGCTGGTGGTTTTATACTTGTTTTGCCAGTAACCCTTAACATTGAATGTTGAAATTTTACTGTGTATGCTTTCAGGAATTATTAGTTTAATAATGACAAAATGCAATATTTTTTTGTTTTCTTACATTTAGAAACTTTTTCAGAGGTAAGTAAAAATATCGGAGTCCAAATGGCAGTCCACCATCTTTGTTGCTGAAGAGATTTTGTGGTACCATTCCTTCTCAAATAGAAGCCGAGTCAGTTTTTTCACTCAGTTAACGATGTATAATAAATTACAGATGATTCCTTATGAGAAAAATTTGCTTAGATTTTCCTACATGGTTAGGTTTTTGACATGAAGTAAATGTTTGTATGATGCTCCCTTGGTACATGTAAAAAACTCTAAATTCTTATTTTATTATTAGATACATGTAACTTTTCTCAGGAAAAACAAAGCAGTTGCTACATTTGGGAAGAACCACACCTGTAATCTAAAAAAATCCACACACACAAAAGCCTAGTTTTGCTATTTTTCACCTCTGTGATCCACATTTAAATTTATAAAACAGATCAATTAGTTTTACAAAAGAATTCGCCAGAAGCAGATTTCCCAATTGCTTTTAAAATAAATTTAAGCTCATAATTTGATCTGTGTTCAGTTTTGTGGGAAACTATTTATTGGGTAATACTACTTCACAAATAGATTTTTTATTTAGGAAGTATTAATCTACAAGGACATACCTAGCTGTGCCTAAAAGAAAGTGACCCTTAGTTATCTGTATTTAATCTTCATGGTCTTGGTACATTCATGAGTAAATTCTAATTGTGTTGAATGTTACACATTGTTGGAAAAATCAAATTAATATGCATCCTGGTTGACTTTTAAGATGATAGAACGTATTACCCCTTTTATATGTTAAAGCTTTAAAATGTATTTGAGTAAATGTTGAAGGAATAAAGAAATGTGTTCTTGTCATGCCACCTGCAATCACTGTTCATTTTCCAGGACAGTATGTTCAAGCCTTTCGTACACATCCCCATGAACCTCTCTACAGCCTTTGTATAGGCCTTACCTTTATTCACATGGCATCTCAGAAGTATGTATTAAAGAGACATGCTCTTACTGTGCAGGTAATTCATTTGAATTTCTCACTACTTGATTTTCTGTGCCTTAAAAATGAATACCCTTAATGTACTTTTTTATCCTACTCCAATATCTGCGTGGTACATGTGTCAGGCTCTCCAGGAGCCATCTCTGTATTCAGCATTCAGGGACTCAGCATGTAGTTGTACTCACAGTTGAGATTTATTACAGGAATGTAGTAGGCATACACAGCTAGTTCATAAGGGAGAAGAGGCAGAGTCTTGAGGAAACCATGTCCAGGTTTCCTTTACTCTGGAGCCCCTGAGGCCTCCAGTCACTGTAGGTTCTGGAGAGGATTCATTTATTTTAAAACAGGTTTTTAAAAGTATAATAACACATACATACAAGGATAGATTTGGCTGAAGATAATCTTACATACGCACTTGTGCTACAGAATTACCCAAATACATTACAGAAGACTGGGTGGGAGTAGCTACTCAGAGAAAACCAAACCCCTTGAGAGAAAGAATCACCAGGCCTGTGGGCTTGGGACCAGGGGATGTCTCAGGGGACATCCTCTTCAATTACCACAACATAGTACATAAAAATCTTGTTCTATAACCTGCTTTGGTGAGTAGCGACTGGGGTCTTAAAAGCTATCATCAAGTGGCCATCTAAGATGCAATTATTGGTCTCCTTTTGTTTGGAGCAAAGAAGAGTGAAGAAAATCCATCTGGAAACAATTAGTCCAAAAATAAGATGGACCACAAGGACCTCAGCTTTCATGACCAAAAGATGGTTCCTGGCTGCCAATGCCAACTACTTGGAAAGGGATCAGAACTGGAGACCTGGATAAAGTGGGAGGGAGAATCCAGAACAAAATTCAGAAACAAAAATGACCAGCATTACTGCTCAGATAGAGACTAGTTGAACCTCTGAGATTATGGCCCCGGGTTACCCTTTGGGCCAAGAAATGGACTCACTCTCATGGATTGGCTCTCAGCCCAACAGTAGAAAGACTCACATGCAGAACACCTCCTCAGGCTATGTACCTTCCTACTGTAGAGAGATGTACCCCTTAGGTCATTCAGCCATGAGACACCAGAGGGGCAGCATTCACACAGGGAAAGCTGGACAGACACGAGTGCACAGTTAAGAAGGGCACAGGGAGGGGGAGTCACAGGAGGGGAGGGGATGGTCATCAGGCCGTGAAATCAAATGTGCATCAACTGCTGAATGTAAAACAAATACACTTTGTAAATTTGTACCTGAAGCACAATTAAAAAAAAAAAAAAAAAACTATAGTAATACATACATAGAGCAGTGTATGATGAATGTAACTCCTTCCTAACAGCATCACCAACAAATTGTTCTTTTAAGATTTTCTTCTTGGTTCTTATATTGAAATTACATTTTTATTTTATTTACTTTTTTATATAGCTTTTATAGCTTGTATCCTCTGATCTTTGAGATCAGAGCTCTTACCTCTCTTTTTCACAACTGTATCTTTAACACCTTGAGTAAATAAGACCTGGCAATTAGTAAACATTCACTGAATGATAAATGGCAGAAGAGTTTAATCTAAGAGATGAAAGCTGATACATCATTACTGTTTTAATTTACATATATATATATATATATAATAAATGAGTTTGAGCATCTTTACATGTTTTGGGGCCTTTTGTATAATTTAAATATAATGTATATTGGGCCTGTTCATATACAATTTATTTATTTTTTAGAGTTTTCCATTTTTGTCTTAATTTCTAAGAAGTCTTTGTACAATAAGGGTATTAATACCTTCTCACAAATTATATTTTGTTCCCAGATGGACATCGATCTTTTGACTTCTGTATATGTGTCTTGTTTTGGTTTTTTGCTTTGTGGAAGTTTTAAATGTTTATATATGGCCAAATTTCTGATAATTTTCTTAATTACCTCTAGATTTTATGTCATGTTTACAAAGATCATCCTAACTTGAAAAATATAAAATAATTCTCCCATGTTTTCTTCTTTTTCTTTTATGATGCTATTTTTTATGTTCATATCTTGAATCTGTCTAGAATATAATGTTACAGTATACAGACATTTTGAAAAAACAGGCAAGGGAAGAAAATGATGGCTTGAATTAAGCAGCTGGGTCTAATAAAGGGTTTTTTTTTGTTGTTTTTTCTTTTTTAAGTAAAATAAGCAAACCTAAGTTGAAATGATATTTCTTGAAACTGAGTGATAGGTGTTCGTTACAGTATTTGGTCTAGTTTTGTGTTTTTGGAAATTTCCATAGTAACAAGTAAAATACAAGCACATTAAAAAGAAAAAACTCTTCCTCTTCAACATTTCCTTAAGTATTTTGTCTGCCTCTTCCTTTAAGCTTCTTTTTTTTCCTGAATGGATATGTTTTTGCTGTATTAAGTAATGTAGGATTGTTTATAAGTTCAATTCAGCTCATTTCAGCATTGAGCACCCAATGGGTTCCAGGAACTGAGAGGTAGCAGTGAGTATACAGGCAGACTTTTCCTGCCTTCATGAAGCTTATATTCTGTAAAAATTGATGAGACATTTTTACAGATTAACTCATTATGAAATAGTTAAAATATGTAATCTTCCTACTTGGTAAACTAAAAAACCAAACTCACTGCCATCAAGTTGGTCCTGACTCATAGCAACCCCTCCTTGGGTTTTCAAAGTGGTATCTCTATGGAAGTAAACTGCTCAGTCTTCCGAGGAGTGGCTGGTGGGTTTGAGCCCCTAGCCTTCTGGTTAGCAGTCAAATGCCGTAGCTGCTATGCCACCAGAGCTCCTTCCTACTTGGTAGGGCAAGAATTTTAAGTGTCAGGTTTCAGATGGGTAGAAGAGAGAGAAAATAAGATGATGAGTGTCTAGGAGCTCATTGTCTTGGTCTCTGAGCTTCTGAGTATGATTAACACTTTCTGTAACAAAGAATTGCTTAAAAGTAGGTCTTACTGTAAATGGCATGATTTCTGAAATTATTTTCTTATATTTCTGTTTCTTCATGCTTCAGAAATAAAATTAGTTTAATTTTTGCACTAATAAAAAAACAACTAGTTTCAAGTATTTTTACTGTCTCTCTACCTCTTTGTCATACTATGAGTGTGACTTTCATGGTCCCTTACCTCTGCCTTTATTTAATGAAAAATTTTATGTGGTTAATGTAAAAAGAACCCTTTTCTTTCTTTTCCATTTTAATTTTTTTTTTTGTTTCCCAGTTTTTTGTAGTTTTTGTATTAGATGAATCATAGTACTTCTGAAATAAAGTGGTTGCCAACATTACCTAGTTTTTTAATCACTAATTATTATCTGATTAGCGTTCATAATTATCAAGGAGATTCCTCTCCTCTCCTAAATGTTAAAAATTACTTATAATGAGTCAGATAACTGCCACTATTTTATCAGACGACCTACATTTTGAGTTATGATTCATCTGGAATTATTTTTCTTTTCTTTCTCAGATTTTTCTCTTTACATTTGTCTTACTATCTTTAGAATATGATTCAATATTTCTCTGAAATGAACAACTTAAGTGTCTGCTTTTACTTGATAGAGAATCATATGTTTCAGCAGACTACAGGTCATAATCCCCTATATATGAGTTCTTTAGTTATATAGAAAGTATGGTTTGTTTATTGGATATCATTATTTTTTATCCCTAAAATGGATTAATTCTGAAGAATTTGTGATCATATATACCAGATCACCCTAGGAATAATTACATTTTGTATTCTATATTCACAAATTAGTTGGTTTCCTTTAATGCCTTATTTACTGAAATAGGACACTTGTACTTGTGCAACTTGTAATTTTCTGTGGAGGATAAATGTTGAAGATACATTGAAAGGTTAAGTGAAGATGGGAAGAAACAGGTTGTTCTTTGAGCTCTGTGACACAGGCCACCTCATTGTTACAGCTGTGCTTCATAATAATCTTTCTCATAAAGACTTTTGGGTCAGAAGCTCTTCAGGAAAAAATAGCAGGTTTTTTGAATTTAGAAATGTTTTCTTTGGGAGGTTAGATGGACTGAAGTGAGCTTGTTCCTAGGGGTGAACATTCTAAGCTATTATTATAAGTGCTCAGATTTTATATCCAGTTCAGACATTTTTAGATACTTATCTTGAACCCAAAAGTTTACTTGCCTATTTGTACTACAAAAGCCATATCCTGTGATCTTTTGGATTATGGTGGGTCTTGGGTAACAGATTGTACACTTGACTTTCTTTTCTGTTTATTTTTGTCCTTAGCTTAAAAAATATCTGACAACACCAGAAGAGTTCTTGGATACACTGGGATATGATAGACACCACATTATAGTATTATGTGACGTTTTCTTTTAGGGCAAAACTGATTTTTCAAATATTTCTGTTTCTAGTGCCTGGCAGATATTTGTTGAATGACTGAAATAGTATCTTTTTTTTTTTTGATAGGGCTTTTCCTTTCTTAACCGATACCTAAGTCTGCGTGGGCCTTGCCAGGAATCATTCTATAATTTGGGACGTGGCCTTCACCAACTGGGGTTAATTCATCTTTCAATTCACTATTATCAGAAGGCCCTGGAGTTCCCTCCACTTGTGGTCGAGGTATTGTATGATTTACTTTGAAAAGTTCAGCAACAAGTAGATCTTTGACTCCTGGCTTCATAAGGATGTGAACATACACAGTTTGTGATTATGACCATAACAGTTATCCTAAAATAGCCCTATGGTTTACAGGTACAAGCTAGGAGACATGTAGCCTGAATACTAACTCATGTAGCTATTGTTCATTTCCAAGTTAAAGTGTAATAAACACACTTATTTATAAATATGTAAGTATTAATCTAGAACTTTGTTTCTTATAAAATAATACAGGATAAAATACTACCACTACTACAATAATCTATTTAATTCCTGAAGAATACTATGAGTGGTTTTTTTTTTTCTAAACCAAAAAACCAAACCCACTGTCGTGGAGTCAGAGTGACTCATAGCAACCCCTCCTTGGGTTTCCGAGGAGTGGCTGTTGGGTTTGAACTGCCAGCCTTCTGGTTAGCAGTCAAATGCCTTAGGTACTATGCCACCAGAGTTCCTGGTTTTTTGTCTATTGTGTTAATAATACATATATTATAGAACATTTGCCAGTTCACTATTTTTTTATGTGTGCAATTCAGTGATGTTGATTATGTTCCTCATGGTGTATGACTGTTGCCATTACCTGTTTCCACGTTACTCCATCACCATTAACAGAATGGTGTCCCCTAAGCAGACACTGTCCCTTGCCTCCCGCTCCCACTGCTGCTAACCACTAATAAGCTTTGCTCTCTATTATCCATCTGCCTTGTTTCACATAAGTGGGATCAGAAAGTGTAGATTTTTTTTAATGCATTTTATTGAAATATAATTTACATACAGTGAAATACATAAAACTAAAATGACATCGGTCAGCGCTTTTTTTTTTTCTTTTTTTTGCAGTGTTCCTTCCTCTCCCCTCCCACCCCTGGCAACCAACAAAGAAAGTTTCCCTCCATCTATAAATCTTGCCTTGACCCTCCACAACGATGAACTAATACTACATTTGTCCTTTTGTGATTGACTTATTTCACTCAGCATAATATCCTCCAAGTTCTTCATCCATATTGTACTTATGGTCTCGATTTCTTTGTTCCCTATAATTTTCTATGCTGAGCTCATTTTGTTTATGAATCGTGTTACCACTTCCTTTATTGCTATTGTTTTAGTATTTGCTAAATATTTGTGCTGGTCCTCTTTCTTATTTTGATGTGAAGGTTTATCATTTTTCTTTGAGATTACCCTGTGATTTAGAGTTTTCTTCCCAAGTTTAGAATGGTCTGTTCTATCTTGTAGTTGTCTTCACTTCCCTACCATCTTGCATTTTTGTAACTACACAGTTTTTTCCCTCTTTTTGGTTTGTATTGTCCTCATTTGACAATGGATGTCTCTGGTTCCCTGTTTACAATCATGTCAGCTTATTTACTTTGGATACTTTCATAGCTGCATTGGTTTCTGGGTTATATCATCATGTGTGTCAATGGTCAGTTGTTGCTGGCTGTTGTTGCTTCTCTGTCCAAAGGACTACCTTTAGCATCTCTTGTAAAGTTGGTCTGGTTTTAACAAATTCCCTTAATTTCTGCTTATCTGGAAATGTCCTAATTTCACCATCGCATTTGAGTGGCAGTTTTGTTGGGTACATAATTCTTGGTTGGAAATTTTTTTCTTTCAGGGTTTTATATATACCATCCCATTGTCTTCTCACCTGCATGGTTTCTGTTGAGAAATCTGAGCTTAGTTTTATTGGTTGCCCCTTGTAGGTAACTTTTCGTTTTTCCTGTGCTGCTCTCACGATTCTTTCTTTGTCTTTGTTTTTGGTGAGTTTGATGATGCTGTGTCTTGGTGATTTTCTTTTGGAGTCTGTCCTGCTTGGGGTTTGTTGGACTTCCTGAATGGATATATTCTCATCTTTCATCATACCAAGAAAATTCTCTTCCAACAAATCTTCGACAATTTTCTTTGTGGTTTTATTTGTCTCTTCCTGTTCTGGAATTCCGATTACATGTAGGTTATTCCTTCTGATGGTATCCCACATGAACCTTAGGCTTTCTTCTTTTTCTTTTGATCTTTTTTCTGATTGATCCCTTTCCAAAGAAGTATTCAGGTATTTGCCTTCAATCTCCCTAATTCTGTCTTCCATTGATTCATTTCTACTCCTTTGCCCATTCAGTGTCTTACCTATTTCTGAAAATTTAGTATTAAATTTCTGAACTAATTTCTGGATTTCTGTGTGTGGATTTTGTATCTAATTTTTCATTTATTTTGTCATTTTGTTCTTGTACTGTCATTTGGAATTGTTCTAGGGTTTTCTCTGTGTTTTCCTCAATTTTGTCAGTGTTTTCCTGATCTGTCTCTCAATTCGTTGAAGGTACCTAAATATAATTCTTTTGATTTCCTTATCCGGGAGTTCCAATGCTGCGTTTCCTCAAGAATGTGTTTTGGGTCTGTATTTGGTCCCTTGTTTCTCCTGCTTTAACTTGCTTCTTTGTGTGGACTGTGATGCTCTGTTGTCTCCAAGGCATTGTGATGTTTTTGTGTTTATATTTAATTGGTGATTGTATGTTGGAGTGACTTGCCCACAGTTTTTGTTTTGTTTGTATGTTATCTGCACAAATTAGGTACTGAGCTGTGCTCCTCTATTCACTAGTTGACAGCACTTATCCACTCACCACCTATCTCCTTTCCTGTTGTCAGCCTCTTGTATGTCCCTGCCAACCTTGGCAGACAGAGCCCAAGTTTACATTCCTGGAATCCAAATAAGAATACTGTCATTTTAAAATCTAAAATAGCTGTACCCTCAGTCACTTTAAATATCCAAAATGGCTGCCACGTGTAAACACTTAAAATGGCTGCACCCTCTGGACAGTGGAAAGTCAACAGCTCAGGTTGTCTTCCTCCTTGCTGTTCCCCTTCCTAGTCATAGGCCAACAGCGCAATCGTCCCTGCAGCCCTTGGTGACCAGGGCTGATCTTTAGGTCAATTCTCAGGTCCCAACACCACTTGGAAATATTCAGGCTATTGGTCTTGTCAGAGTAGCTGACAGTCCGCAGCTCCGACCATCTCTGTACTCACTGTTTTCATTCAGGTTTTTCCTCTAGTTGGTGCCGTATGTCCTTTCAAAGCTCAGGGATCCAGGATTATCCTCTGTATTTCTGTCGATTTGTTTCTCTTTTCTTGTTGAAGAGGGTCTGTGGAGCTTGTCTGCCTATTCCTCCATCTTTCCAAAAAGTATAGATGTTTTTAATGTTAGTTTTTATGATGTGTTTTAAAACGGCAATTTGTAGAATTTTTTTTAAAAAGTTTCACTTATAATTTCTATACTCTATCACAACTGTTTTCCATCACCCTTATCCATTTTTAGGCTTTCAGCAAATGAATACATATTCTTTTGATTATACTCATGAGATATATGTACTTTTATATTTTTTATTTGATAAATGCTTTTATATATTGCTACCTGTGTTTTATAGATATCATTATTAATTATGGCAGATATTTTTATAAGTTGACCCCAAAATTTTGTATTGGATAAGATTAGAAATATGGATAAGCTCTATTCCATTGAATTCATTGCTTAGTACTTTCGGAGAAAAAAAATTAGTAACACATCAATGTAATTATAATGAATTTGGTGTATGCACTCCTAGACCTACTTATTTACATGCTTTTCTGTCACACAGTATAGGGACTTCCCCTGCTGTGGCCTAGTGTGGTATCTGTTAATCTTTTTCTTTACATTTCTTTTAGTATTATATTTGGAAAGCACTTTTCTACCCAAGATTATAGCTGTATTTAACTTTTATTTTTTAATCATTGTTTCCTTTTTTAAAAACTTAAATCCTTGATTCAGCTGGAGTTTATTCTGCTGTTAGAGAGATTTTTTCCTTAACTTTTTGCTTGTTGTTGTTGTTGTTATGTGCCGTCGAGTCGGACCCGACTCATAGCGACCGACCCCTCCTTGGGTTTCCGAGGCAGTATCACTATGGAAGTAGATTGCCCATCTTCCTTCCGAGTAACTTGTTGCTTAGATGTTTAAAAAAATATTTGATGATAACAGCTAGTTAATGGTTAACTGAATCAGCATTATCTGATAACAATTTAGATTCTAGGTATATGCATAGTTTTATAATATACTTTTAGTATTTGGATTTTAATGGCTTTTTGAAAACTTATGCTTGTGAAACTCTCTGTCATAAAATTTGTCCCAGTTGGGAGTTTGAAATACAAAACCATTCATGTATTATTTCCCTCCTAGGGTATAGAAGTTGACCAGTTAGACTTGAGAAGAGATATTGCCTACAACTTGTCTCTCATTTATCAGAGCAGCGGGAACATTGGAATGGCCCAGAAGCTGTTGTACACCTATGTCTCTGTGTAAAGCACCTCCTCTGAGGAATGGGCAGGTGCTGTGTGTGGACCAGAACCTTCTGTCTTAGTCTGTTATTCTTAACCTCCAAGATGGGAATGACAGTTTCAGAATTATCTAAAAGTGTATTAGATTTTTTTAATATCTGATAACAGTATTTTGGTTTAAGGCTGTTGTTCCTGCAGGAATTTGTATATTGGTCTCTTATTTTCCTTTTGCTTTCTATGGTAAAATATTCTTCAAAGATGAGCTGGGCAGTAATAGTCTTTGAGCTGGCTCACAGCCAAATGAATATACTTTTTTTTGTTGTTCATACCACTTACTTATCTATACATTTAATATCATATATTAAGCTTTTGCTGTGTACTAGGTGCTGTGTTAGATGCTGGGAATATAGTCGTAAACAAGACAGTCCATGATCTCATCTTTCATAGTGCTTACAATACATTATTGACGCCTGAGGTCATACTGCTCAACATAGCTCTTAAATAAAGTATTTGAAAGAAATTTTTGTCACATTTCCACATACATCATCATTGTTGTCAGTCATCCATTTCTTAGTGCCCTGGTGGTTTTGCATGGAGCAGTTTTTCAACTACCATAGAAAAAGAGATTACTTGTTAAAGGCAAGATAAATTGAGATGCATTATGATGTCGAGAAGATTATGTAACTGTCAGCTTCTAACAACTTTTAAATGGTTATGTAGTAGGAAAGCAAATAATGGGCTTAATCTTTTATTTTTCACCTGCATGTATCTTAGTACTTGGATTGTGAGACCTGGGAGAGGCTAGGCAGAACATCCTTTTTGTTTGCTCCAAGGCAAACAAAAACTGTGCTGTATGTGTGACTCCCTGCGAAAGTAATAGAAGAGTCGATCACGTTCAGTAACATGGCGTGTTTCTTCATTTCAGTGTCACTAGGTTTATAGGAGAGATGAGGGAAGATGAATAAAGTATTGCTGGTAACGTGTAAAAAATTACATAAACACCATTTACTCATCTCAAATACTGTATGTTCTTGAATCTAAGATGGTAATGCTTGTTAGATATATGATTGCTTTAAAGACTGCTTTTGGGGGAAAATACATGCTATGATAAATGTGCATATGGATTGTAAGAACAATCCATGGGGGAGGGAAACAAATAATGGGATTTAGCATTAAAGAAGTACAGTAGGGGCTTTTTGGAATTCTTTTCACTGTTTATAAACATAACTCTGTACTTGAGAAGCAGGATTTATATGTAGTAAGTAGATACTTCGTGCCCTCTGTGTATGTGTGTGTGTAATTTTAATAAATTTTATTTTTATAATTAATGGTTTGAGATTTTTTTTTATTATTATTATTTCATGCTATTCACAGGTAATGGAAAAGCTAATTGTGATAGAATAATAAGTTAGACTTACTGCTTGGAACTCTATGGACTTGAGAAGGCTGTGTAGAGAGTTTCTCTCTTGAATTAGGCTCACTGAGCTGTGATTTCACTATCTGCTGAACAGCCTTGGAAGAAAGAGTAAATCTAGCATCTTCATTCTAGAGGGAGGGGGAAGCTGATATTGCTATGAGGTTGTTTAGCATTTAAAATCATAGCTACCATTTGTTGAGTTCTGACTACAGTATTCTGCTGTCTAAAGCCCAGGGCTGTGTACCTCAGATACATTAGCTCAGGTTCTCTCAGCCATCCTGCAAGGTAGGTGTTATTACCGTCTCTATCCTACATACGATGATTAAATGTTGCTATGGGCCATCGAGTCGAATAGCATGTTTAAAATCGCTAGCAGATGACTCCTTGCTTGTACATGTTCCTTCGTATTTCCAAGTAACAACATAAAAATAGAACATAGTTTTATTTTAGAAGAAAAAAAGGACTGGTAGGGTTTTTGTTTTAAAATAATTTTATCTTTCTCTTCACTGTGTTCCAGACCTTCAGCTTCTTAACGCCTCTGTGGAAAACGTGGTCTGGGAAGTCTTTGTAGAAGTCCACACTGACTCCTTTACCTACTGCCCTCACCCCAGCAGTGGGATCCTGAGCCACTTTTCAGTGAGATTTGTTTCTACGGGCCACCATCTTTCAAGCAGGGAGTTGTTCCTGAATTAATGTAGTGGGCCAGTTAAGAGTGTCCTCTCTCTCTCCTTCAGCATTTTAGAATTGAGATACAACATCTTTTACAGTCATTAATGCCATAGTATCACACACTTAATACTATAAGAAGCATAATGAAACTGAACAAGGTAGGAAAAAAAGCCTGGAAAAGAGGGAGCTAATGTCTAAGCTCTGCGAGGGTACTCTAAGGGAGTTTACTCTCCAGGCCCGTGGTCCCCAGACCAAGGGTGTCGTGTTTACAAAACTGCAAGTTGTCATTTGTAAGGTTTTCTACAGAAGAAGATGATCAAGTGAAGTGAATTTTTTAAAAGTGGGCAAAGGTGGATTCTGGAATGAGCTTGATGCGGATTCTGGCATGAATCTAGCTGATCTGTGGGCATTTAAAAGGATAGGATGTTCCTTAGGAGATTGGCTCCTTTTCTTTGGAATGGCTACTAGACTCAGGGGTTACCACGGTTTCCATGCACCTGGATTTAAGGAGAGTTACTGGAGGAAATCTGTTGTGATACGCTTATGGAGAAATGTGGCTGTTTGATCTTTGACTGGTGGAAAGACCAAACCTAGAAAATGGGTGTTGATGGATTGGTGCCAACTGGAGAGAAATGACATGATATTCCACCAGGTTCTTTCATCCTCTCAAGCAACAATTTAGATAAAAGAGGTGGTCAGATTTGCATGTCAGAAAACAACAACTTAATATAATAAGTGCCAGTACTAATTAAAATTAGAGTCAGGAAACCTGATGGCACAGTGGTTAAGCGGTTAAGCACTGAGCTGTTAAACCGGAAGGTCAGCAGTTCAAACTCACCAGCTGTTCCATTGAGTAAAGAGACAGCAGTCTGCTTTAGTAAAGATTACAGCCTTGGAAACCTATATAGGGCACTTGTACTTGGTCCTATAGCATTTTTATGAATTGGAATCAATTCAGTGGCAATGGCTTTTGTTTTTTGTTTGTTTTATTAATAAGGCAAGAATGAAAAACCTTAACAGGTTTAAAAAGAGACTGAAAAATACAGGCATCTCAGATAGTGCGAGCTCACAATCGAGTATCAGTCAAGCGAATCACACACACTTTCTGGTTTCCCAGTGCAGATAAAAGCTGTGTTTACCCTAGACTGTAGTTTCTTATGTGTGCAGTAGCATTACAAAAAGTTGGAAATTTGTGAGAATTACCGAAACATAACACAGACACGAAGTGAGCACCTGCTGTTGGAAAAAAGGCGCCAATAGGCTTGCTCGATGCAAAGTTGCCACAAACCTCCAAGTGGTAAAAACACAGTATCTGCAAAGCACAGTAAAGCACAGTATGACTGTCAAAAGTTTTGGAGAAAAATTGTGCGAGTGAAAAAATAAATTGTAAAAAATACAGGTTCTACTAGCTTATCAGTAGCTCAATGAAAATTCGTGGGGGGTTTTAGCTCACAGCTAGCTCAAAATGAATTGACAGAACGGTATTTCTATCAAATGCAATATAGGGCACATTTAATGAAAGAAAGGTAGCAGTTCTGTTCACTGATCAGATTCCAACTGATAGGAAGTCTCTTCAGAAAACAGCAAATAGGAAAGTGAGGGTTCTCTAAATAATGTGGAGAGGACTTCTGAAGGGAATGAAAATGTTTAGCCTAGAAAACAGAAAACTTGAAGGGGGATATGGTAATTCTTTTAAATAGTTGAGAGAACTCATGTGGGAGAGCAGTGTGGATAACGAGAATGAGCAACATCTCTAATTTAGCCCAGAAAATAACTTTGCTCATCTTAGCCTTCATTTATCATCAGTACCATCCTTGTTAATCTGCCAAACATCAACATCTTACTTGGTTGACAACTAGATCTCAGTACCTTCTTTTCTGGATATGATTCCCAATAAAGATCAAGTCCTGGCTATTGCAAATTGAATCTGACCCCAGCTGGCCAATAATACTCTCTTCCTGGTATTTTGAAGCTTACACTGGAGTTGATGTCTGTGTTAGACTGGGTTCTCTACAGAAAGAAAACCAGTAAAGCTTATATATACAGAGAAAGAGAAATTTATCTTAGGAAAAGGGCTCACACACTTAGAGAAGATGGCAAGTCCAAAGTTCTTGAATCAAACACCAAGCTGGAGGCTTTTCCCGACTCATGCGGCTGCAGGGGCTGAGGAGCTCAAAGTTGGCAGGCAGTACACTGGCTGTTGACGCCAATGAATGATGAATCCAGGATCTCCAGGCCGAATGGTGGATTGTTCGCTCACGGACAGTGGTAGGCAGCACAACAGAATCCTGATCCACAGAAGAGTGTCTCTTCCCAGGATGTCCATAAATATACTGGAAGCAGGCCACAGCCCAAGGGAAACTCCCTTTCAACGGATTGGCTGCTCAAAACATAAACATCTGATCCCATCATGGGAATAACCACATCACGACTACTTAAACCACACAGGATTGTGGTCCAACCAAGTTGACACACAGCTCCAATTATCACAATGTCCTTATGAGGTGCCATCAAGTCATCTCTGACTCATAGCGAACCCATGCACAGCAGAACGAAACGTTACCTGGTCCTGTGCCAGCCTCATGATCCTTGCTGTACCTGAGCCCATTGTTGCAGCCACTGTGTCAGTCCGTCCTGTAGAGGGCCTTTGCCTTCTTCGTTGACTCTCCACTTTACCAAGCATGATATCCTTCTCTAGGGAATGGTTCCTCCTGACAACATGACCAAAGTAGGTGAGACGAGGTCTGGCCATTCTTGCTTCCAAGGAGTATTCTGGCTGCACTTCTCCCTGGCCAGATCTGTTAGTCCTTTTAGCAGTCCACGGTACTGTTAGCATTCAGCTCTTTGATCTTGTCATTCCTTCCATTTGCTTTAGCTACTCAAGGGCAAGTTTCAGAGTCTCTTCAGATACCCATTTTGGTCTTTTCTTCCTTTTCTGCCTTTTTAATATCTTTCTTGATGTCATCCCACAATTTTGGTCAATTTCAGACTGCAGAAGTTGATAGAAATCTTCAATTTCCTCATCTTTGGCGTTGGTGGTTGGTTCATAGATTTGAATAATAGTAGTATTAACTGCTCTTCCTTGCAGGCATATGGATACTGTCCTGTCACCGACATCATTGTATTTCAAGACAGATCTTGAAACAGTCTTTGTGATGATGAATGCAACACCATTCCTCTTCAAATTGTCATTCCCAGCATAGCAGATCATGTCTACTATGTTTTGTCTTT